CCACCTCTTCTGCGATAAATATTTTTTTTTTCGATCACTATTGTGTCTCGCATTCTTTTTCCGATAAAAAAAGTGTGTCATTGGAAAAAAATATCCCACGATTGAAACGATGTTGCACAATGCGTGGCGAACGCTTGCGGCAATGATTCGATTGGTAATAAATTTTCACGAGAGACTATGATTAATTACGAATATAATTACGAATATTAATTACGATTATTACGCGACTACGAGTTAGAGAGATATCAATGTGAAGATAAAGCTAGCCATTGTGGCTAACAATAAGTTATAGAGAACCAATGTACTCGATAATACGATGCAATCGATCGCCATTCTCTCGAATTCGTCCTGGTGTTGGCGAACAAACGGTGCTGAAAAACGAATATAAGAGTGCCATCGATTCCTCTAACTATCACGACGAAAGGAATCCTCTAGAAGAGTACCCGAGTTACTGCGATGTATTGTGCTATCATGAACTGTACTCGAGTCATGCGAGAGATAACGCGCTCGTATTAAATTATTAACCTGCCTTAAGCTCATCCCACATACCTTACTTGACATTAACCATGGTTGTTAAATTACCGAAAAATCGGCAATGCATCATCAACACTCTGCTGAGGAAGCGACTCTAAAGTTCACAATTCCTTTAACAAGAGAATCCTCTTAATTATGGGTCATCATTCGATTCATTTTTTTCAATATTATTTTATCGAAGATGATGTTTAATCATTTTATTACTGCAAACGTTCTCGAATTACAATAATATCTGTTTCTCAATGGCTGGTATTTAATGGAAGACATATCTAAACATCGTCCATCTTCTAAAATAAAAAAAATAAATAATATCGAGCGAGAAAGAGAGAGGATACTATTTATTAATTAATTTTTTAATTTTCCCATTTTTCTATTTCAAGTAAATGGTGTTTTTGCAAATATGTCTTGAATTATTAATCTACATGTTAATGTACACCGAATGAAACGCGCACTTTGTGTATTGAAAACAACGCAGAAATTGCGTTTCTAGCTAGCCATAAACAAGAAAGTTATCCGTGAGTTTCACGTGTCAAAAGTTACAAACTATCATCTGCCAATCAGCGAGAGAACAAAGACGATCGACAAATTGGCCCCAAATTCCCCAGTGTCGTGATGGAGACACGAACACGATTTTCTTTTTCGATCGACCGACTTTCAGAGTCATTCGATTGCAGTCAGATAGAATTATTTCGTAAAAGTTGCCCTTGCAAAAAATCGCATTTGGAACACGGGAAACGTTCAAATTCAACATTAAGCGACGACAACAATGAATTGTTAATTATTTTTATCTTACGCTTACGTTATCATTCTTCGTTTTGAAATATTTTTTTCGGTATTAAAAAGATGGTATTGCGCGCAAAGAGAAGTCTTTAACGGAGAATTGTTGCAATATCGTGTTTGAATAAACTATGTACATACAACTTGACACGTTATTATTGTTTATTGCATGAAAATATGTTATTGTGAAAAGTTTCTATTTTCGACGCGTCAAGCAATGAAAAATGGAGCTAAAGCTTGTTACGTCCGAATTCCTCGCAACTACCGCCCGCTAACATTTAGTTTGCTTTTCCACGAATAAGTGTAATGAATAATAGTAGTTTTCGATTTGGCGATCGTAATCTCGGGATAAACTTTGAAATTCTTCATTATCCTGTAAGAAATCCAAAATATCCTTTTTTTTGTAGAAAGTTCTTCAAAGTTTTCACTCGGATAAATTTAATTTTTCTTTTTAATCCGAAAAAAATTCACAAGGAAATTTTTTTATAAAGATAGTTTCAAATATGTCAAAATTTAATTGGTATAAAATTAATTAATAGTAATATTTTAAATAATAATATTAAATTATAGAAGCAATAAGTAATGTAATAAAATATAAAATAATATATATATTATTAATATATATAAATTAATATATATATTATAAAATAATAATATATATATTAGCGAATCAACAATTATTAATTTATAACTTCTTCAAATTTCTGCTTAAAAAATTTAAGTAACAAGAAAATAAATTACACGAATTCTTAATATTATTTATATATCTTAATAATTGTGATAATTATATAGATAATGCTTTAAATAAATTTAATAAATCTAAATAATGTAATATATAATTAAACATTATTTAAATATTTATTTGAATTCATATAATTTATTATATTAATAAAAAAGCAATATTAAAGCTTTCTAGTGTTCTACACTAAATCAGAAACTAACAAATTTATTTTATTATTATATTCCGACTATTTGCATTACATTTGTTTTTTTATCATTATTTGTATTATAAAGTTTATTTTTCCAGGTATTTTCATTATTACGTCATTTAATAGTTCGTTATCTTTGAATTTATATACGTGATGAATATGTGCACGATATGTAATGAGTATAAAAACGTAAATAATGAAATATGTCATTTTCTGCAATCGTAATTCCATCTATTTATCGCAAAAAAAAATATTATCATTAAATGTTTTTAAAGAAATATTATATATTTCATGTGAATAATAATGACGTAAAAAAATACGTTTCGTCTCATATTGCGCATTTTATTATTCGTACGGTAATAAAACACGCAGTGTAAAAATAAAATTCGTAGAAGCTAAGAATCCAATAGAAATATGAAACAAAAAACGATATAAGACATAACAAGTTTACTCAATTATAGATATTAAAAGTCCATTATTCTCCGTATCGCAATAACAATTCAAGCTGCGACTTCTAAGAAGAGCAATCCAAATCGAAATTACATTTCTGAATGTGCCACTTGATTTCCCTTTTATAATAAATCTCCGACGTCAAGCAAATCCATCTTCCGTCGTATTTTTCTGCAAACGTTTTTCCACGAGTCATTTTTAGCACAACTTTTAAGCTCTTGTGTTGTACGTTAGTATACATGTATGTCTACGTGAATAGAATCAAAGTGCTCGGAAGGAGAGGGAGAAGTAAAGAGAGAAACATGGATAAAGAGAGGAAGAAATCGGATTCAGAATAATATATTGTAAATGGAAAGAGCCGAAGAGAACACTTATATACAAACACGTGGAGTTCTAGTAGTCGCAAGATTATAAAATGGAACATGGTGAATCACGCAGTTGCGAGAATTTCAGACGGATTACGCGACACATATGCAACTCGGTGGCTTGGCGCACCTTATCATATCTTTGTTTTAATTTAGCTAATTGAGGTGGGTAACGACGCCAGAGGATTTACGCAGAAATGAGGAAAAGGGTAGTAACTGTACTATTTTGCAAATTGTTTCGCGTATTGTGTATGTTTGCTTGTGAATCATAGGCACGAGAAGAAAAATTTAATCATAGGCACGAGAAAGAAAATTTAATGATTTTTTTATCCAAACTAGCAGTATTTTTTATATATAATATCTTTGAAAAGCTTTCACTTTTTTATACAACACACAAGTTATCATATCAATCACTTCTCTATCTTCACATTTCGTGAAAATTCACAAAAAAATTTTCAAGTAATTCCTCCATATATTATAAATTTAAAATATAATAGAAGAAAAATAATTATAATTAATATTTTATTTTTTGAATTTCAATAAAAATTCAAAAAAAAATTTCAATAATTTCTCAATGCAATATAAATTTAATAAAGTGTAATAAAAAAAAAAAATAATTTGCTCGAAAAAATTCACGATTCTAAAATACATCTTATATATTGTATCGTATTTTAGTGGTCCGAAAATGGTTTAATATCTCTCACACGAACCGTCACATGCACACGAAACATTAATGGAACTGATGATATCCGCGTGACAGTCTTCCGTTGGAAGATGTCTCGTTTTCGAAACCGGTTTGCGAGCACGTATTTAACCCGAGGCGACCTTTTCCGGCTGTAAGTTTCGACGTCGGTCGGCCAGGCATCGAGATCGTTAGGAAATTAATTGCTTGTCGCACGAGACGACCTTTTGCGATTTCGCCGGCTGACGTTGTCGCGTGTACCTTTACGTTTTATTGCCGATATCGAGATTCTTTAACTCGGAAAATCGGGCGAACCTTATCTCCCGCGTATTTCACGACGCGTAAACGTTGAACCAACCATCCGACACGGTTGCGCATCTCGCGATCGATCACTTAGTATATTGAGAAAATGATACATGGTCTGATTTAAGTTCTGACGTTATGAAAATATAATAAAAATCGTGTTTCTGATGCGAAATAAATTTTTCTTCGGATAACGGATTTCTCGCGCCATATTTGTTATTAAATATGAGAGATTCTCATTCTCGAAAGATTCCTAAAAAAGATTTCTATACGACATGTAGAGCAACGCTTATGTTATTATTCGTTGCATTTTATCTTATCCCTTCGGTCGTCTTGATAACGATTTATGACCTTTATTAGAAGCAAATCGTTTCGGATCTGCTCTGGTTAGAATTGGATTCGTTCTATCTTATACACGCTAATTCCTTTGACCTAAATGCACGATGATCAGAGATATGTTCAATTTTCCTTTAATGGCTGCAGCGGTCGTTAACCGATAAAGAAAAATTGTAAGAGGTACTTCAATATCTTCGATTAACAATAAGTAAGTTAGTCTACAATGCAATAAATAGAAAACAAAATTATTCCGGAATAAATGATCATATCTTTTTAAATACAACAAGAAGAAAAGTTTAAAATATAAGCTGATATTCCTAATAAAAATCAAATAGAATATAATTTCAGTTACAATATTATGTTAACTAGCAAGTGCAATTCTTACAGATTATATTACAAAATTTTAAATATGCAAGAAATTTATAAATATTACGTGTAATATTTAAAAGATATAGAAATGTCGATATTTTTTACTCTCCCCAATTACAATATAAATTTGAAACATAATAAATTAAATATAAATTAAATATAAATTTAAAATATATAAAATATGAATAAAGTATATAAAACAAATTATAAATATAAATTTAAAGCATAATCAATTAAATATATAAATTTCTCACATGCATTCCAATGAAAAAAGCGCAAAACTGTCATATATTCAATGCAGAATGTCTCCATTTTTGCAAAAAGAAATTATAATCATATCTTTTCAGTTTCAACTTTCCAATCTATTTTTTATTTCTTCTCCTAGTTTAAGTTAAAAGTAGATTTTCTTTACTTTGAGTTATTTTCCAATTTAAAAGTTAAACGTGATTCTTCACGCAATACCGACATATTATCGGTGAAAGAGATTTGAGAGTCACTGCATCGGCGATAAATTAGGAACCATAACAGGAAGCCGTCTCTCTTTACGCGTTGCTATCTATTCCGGAATTTGCCTACATCAGATTTCAGGCAAGATTGTTGAGCGCAAAAAAGTCAATAAATCATCTTCGGCAAAATCGCCGATTTCTGCTTCCGTTTTACCGAAAATTCGGTGTCGCGTGCACAGAATGAAAATGCAAAATATCAATGTAAATACGATCGCGCTCGCATTTTCGCAACGTGCAAAGCACTGTGTAGCGTACTTTGCTTTACCCAGCGAATTTTTCTCATTTTGCACAACACCTCTTTGTCGCTTGCACTTTGCGCTGCGACAAAGGAAGCCGTCATCGATTGTGGCGTTTCCGGCGAACGGACGCGATAAGAATCGATGCGATTCCCCTCCCGTAATAATCTCGGGATTATGCGCGACCGATAACGAATCCGTCCGTGGTAATCTACGCTGATTGTTGCCTTCGGTGTCGCCTGGTTCGCTTGATTTTATTTTACGACTGTTTTATTTTACGACCCTCCCTCCGCGCGAACTCTTCGCGGTAACGACGCTCCTCTCGCAGAAAACGCAATCCCCCGTGGCCTATATTTACATTTTACGGTAATCGCAAGGATTGTACACTTACCAGGCTTCAGTATTAGGGGCGTTTTCTCAAAATTTATTACAGCTGCGAAAAGTCCGATGAAAGAAAGAGAGAGAGAGAGAGATTCATTTCTTTCAAAATATTTCATTAAATCATAAAAATGAAGGAAATCTAAGTGACGGATATATTTTTCAGCTCGTAATATTAGGAGATATTGCGGTACAAAACAAGAGATCCTAATCGAGATTTACTGTTGCTCTCAGAGTCACGAGAAGGAAATAAAAATGATCTCTCTAGATTAGTTTTGATAATCGGATTCCGCGCGTGCTTCAGCTCGCAGAAGAAACGAAAGCTACGAAAAATTACCCCGTCCACGGAGGGCTAACGACACACGACGTCGAGAAACACCCCGTTACAAAGCGATACGCACGTGTCTCCTTTTCTCCCGCGAAGTTGAGCGGTCGATATTCGTCCTCTTCTCCGACGAGGGTCGGCCTCATTGACCCCCCACGTACTCCAAGACAATCCCGAAGCGTAAGGAGCCCTTCGATGGAGGTCTGCCGCAACTCGCCAGACTCGCTAGATCACTCTCCTCGATCGAGACGATCGATCCTCGGAGTCTTACAGAACGTGAAGATTCTCGCAGCTCTTGGACTTGCTGTCGCGCGCCCAGACCTTGTCGAGCAAATTGCGCACCTTCAGGCTGGTGCTGGTCCGACTGCCGCGGTACTTTTTAGGCGAGTTGTTCTCCGAGCACGAGCCCAGCGGCGACTTGCTCCGATTTTTCCGCGACCTCTTCCGAAACATCTCTCGGGTCCTCTCGGGGTTCTCCAGCTTCAGACGGATTTGCGTGAGCAGGCCGACCAGCAGCTCGTCGACATTGTGATTGATGCCGACGGATGTCTCGATGAACTTGCAGTCGTAAGATGTTGCCATGGATTTTCCCTCTATAAAAATCGATTAAATTCAAGATGGCATCGCATACTCTGAGAATTTTACGCGACCGCGATTTATTTCAACATTGAATTTGCGCGTAAAATACGTCCTTGTAATTCGAGCATATGTGCTTTAAGATTAATTAAAGAGAGCGCCGCATTAGTTCGGTGAATTATTTCTAACATAACTGAATGTAAGAGACTTTAATTTTGGAAAAAAAGCATTCAAGGAGAAATAAGGCAAGTTTCACTGAAATCATTTATTTAAAATTTAAAAAAGATGGATGCTAATTCTAAACTATTCCCCTCTCTCTTTCCTTCGCTTGCAAATTGCATATAAATATAAGTATGTTATATAAATGTTATATAAATATTATACAGGGTGCATTTTAACTTTGCCATCGAAATATCTCGTAGATATTTTGTTTATGTAAAATTAAGAAATTACTTTAAACTTCATAACTCGGAAAGTACTTAATGAAAACTAACTTAATTATAGTGTTTTGCAAAGCTCTCGAGGTAAGACACAAGAATATGTAATAAAAAGTAGGGGGTTCCGTTTAAAAAAATTAAGTTAATCTTCAAATGACCACTAAATTCGAGGTGGGACCTCTAGGTCAAAATCAAAGTCACTATCAGATGTTCCCCTCGAAAATTTACAACTTTTGTTTGAAACATTTTTTCGTATCTTTTAGACTTTACGAGACATTTCAATGGCAAAGTTAAAATAAAACACCCTGTATAAATGTTATATGTAATATATATATATATATATATATATATATATATATATATGTATATTATATAAATGTTATATAAATATTATATAAATGATGATTTATTAAAAAAAGAAACGATGATTACGAGGAAGCTGCTACTAATTTAATCATGCTTAAGGGTATATTTTATGCACCGACGCGTTCGCCAGGGGGTTAAATGGTTTTCCTTCGCTCCACTGCCCTCGGAGAATTTGCATCAGGGCACGAGATGCTGCGTCGGTTCATTTAGATACATACATTGCGTTATCTGCGATCGCCCTATATCAGCGTTTCGCGTTAAACGCCACGCTCAATGATAGATAGACTTCTCGTTTGTTGAATACGCTTACAAATTTCCATTCTCGCGTGTCCTCGTAAACCATCCTAACAAACGACGTCGCAGGGGAAACGTCGATTATCGGGGTCAGACTGAGAAAAAAAAGCCGTACCTTCGGTCGATACCAGTCGACTGCGAACCAGGTCGACCTTGTTGCCTACGAGAATGACCGCCCTCGCGGACATATGGTCGCTCCTCCATAAGGATTGAAGGACCTCCTCGGCGACGCGCACCGACGCCCGATCAGTCGTGGAATAAACGACGCAGTATGCGTGCGGCTCGTACGTCGCGATGCAATTCTCCGCCTGCAAGCATTAATCATGACAGGAGCACATTAATACTAATGCACACCATCGAACCTCTGGCAAGCTCTATATCTCCACTTTGAAGCTCATTATAATTGATCATTATACATACATGATGTTCGTTTCATGTCGTTAATCTTTGAATCAATTTCAAAATTAAGCATACTTAATCAGAATGACAGTTCAGTTGCATTGTGTTGTTTCTTGTAGGAAAGTAATTTTATGATTTTCTGACATAAAAATTTTTCCAATTTTTCATCTTGAAATATATATTTTAATATTATTTAAAAAAGAATATTTTCTTATATACATATAAAGATTGAAGGAAACATAAGGACATAATAAAAATATAATAATGATATAATAATGATATAATAATATAAAATATAATAATGATATAATAATGATACAATAATGATATAATTAATAATGATATAATAAAGTCCAGAGAGAGAAAGGAAAAGGGAGCAGTCTATCTCCAATTTATAAAATTTGTTGCAGATAAAATAATAATTTCATATTTTGAAATTATTTAATTTAATTCTGGAAAAATTAATTAATATCCACAATGGAATATTTTATTTTAATTAAATTATATTATATATTTTACGAGTTAAAAGAAAAATATCTATAATTTTGCAACACATATATTTTTTTATTGTAGAAAGTTTTTGAAATCTTTTACTATTATTTTATTTAGTTTTAAAATTAAAATAGGTCTTTGAAAATGAAGAAAATGTATTTCTTCAAAATATTTCAAGAATTTTTTCTATTGAATTTCTTTAAATTCGATGAGAGCTCACATGAGAGCTCCATTATATTTTTCATTAATCTTTCCGCTGTAAAAATAGATGAAAAAATGTTTTTTTTAATTCAACGAGACGTGTTTTTGTTTAGATATATTATAAAGAAGCGCATTTCTTTTCTATGGATATTATAAAAGAAAACTTCTATAGAAATATTATAAAAGCAAGCTTGAAAAGTTTGCTATTGTGCTACAGGCAAAACTTCTACAAAAGCAATGTGTACAGATTCATCATAGTAACGTGTTTATACAGTCGCGATAAAGCATGGAACAAAAATCGAATAATATTGTGAAAAGTTGAAATAAAATTTATTTTGTTTTACAAAATTGAAATTTCCAAACATTTGATAATCTCGATGTTCTTATTTCTAATATCACAATAGATTAAAGGATAAAAATGTTCTTATAAAAAAAATTTCGTTGCGTAAAATATAGATTTTTTTCCAATTGAAATCATTAGACCGATAAAAATTAAAGGGAAAGCACCGGGAAAAGCAGTTCGTTATTCATTATATAGACTGAGTAACTCGATACCTTGAAGCTTGGCAGATTGGGTTTTTGCAATCAATACGTAAATGATGTTAATTCTTCAACTCTCGCATTTTTTATTTATTGTATTCTTTCTCCGAAAATATTAGCTTTCACACTTTTCAGTTTCCACTAGAGAGACGACATAATTAGTTGACTTTTAATTAAGATATTACAAAAATATTCATTTTAAAATAAATATTATTCTGCATTACACGAGAAAGCGCGTAATTATTGGTGCGTTAATTGCATGGTTTTAATTAAACTCGGGATCGTTAACGCACTATTACGGTGTCATAAGTAAAACCGAGCGGTTTAAAAAACGAGTGTCTATTTTTTTTTCATTTAAGTTTTATTTTTTCAAAGCACAATTTGAATTCCGCCGGTCATCATTGTCCGCTCGAGCGATGTAAAAGTTCTGGAACTGGATAATTGCAATCGCAGCATTATCGCGACACCCACTCGAAATGTTATAGGCTATAAATAATAATCCTCCGGGCGATATTTTTCGCCGTATTCTATAATTGGTGCTTGTAACGAAGTCCAGCTAAAACGAGATCTAATTTAGAAACAGAAGAGAGGCCACCTTGAAATTACTGTAAGAGGCATAAATTATATTTCCGTGGAGCTTTGCAAAAGTAAAACCAAGATTAATATTTCGATTAAGTTGGAGCGATTATCCCGACTGCCTAAATTTGCCTTAGTATAATTTGTCGTATTCTTCTGACTTAAATGTCGGTTTAATATAAACCGAAAAAAGTAACATTTATCTGAATCTCTCTTCTTGTACAAACGCAAACGACGTTTGCTAAGAAATATGTAATTTAAAATATTTATACAAAAAACCTCCTTTTAAACGTGACTCATAAAAGATGAGGATATTAAAATCTTTTCCAGACATGCTGGAAATATAAATAAATCCAATTGCTGTGTTTTTTTTATTAGCAAAAATAGAAGCCCGCATATGTGTTCGACTGAGGAGGTTAATCGGGGTTAGCGGTAAACCGCATTAACGCAGCCAACCGTTAAAGGTTAAGATCGCAACGGGAGCGGGCTCTGCGATTTTTCGAACGATTATACGAAAGAATTACCTTGAACCGTATCAAAGGCGCGACGCGTCTCGTGATATCGAATATATTCTACGGGATCGACCGCTCTTAACGGTCGAACGCGCGGTATGGCTCGGTGCTCGTCAATGACTCCGAGCACGCCTGGCTGAAGGCAGGAGAGAACGAGGGACGCTTCGTTACACCCTCAGATCCTTTTTCTTACCCCTCGAGGTTCACAGCGGCAGCCTCACAGTTAACTCGTCACGCGATAACTCTTACTTGGCCGGTTTCACGCAGACCGCAAATCGGACTGTCACGCTGTATTTGGATGCCAGACGGCGACCGCAAGCTTGGATTAACATGCTCTGCCGGCAGCTTTCGCACAACCGTTAATGTGAAATAATAATGATATAATAACACTGATTTTAAAAAATATACAGTAAAAAATAAAATGTTAATTATAACATTTTTCACGCGTCCCAGAAAGTCCACTCTAAATTTTGAGTTAAAATCACTCATTCGTCGTATGTTATTTATTGACAAACTAAACATGTTAAATAATTGACTCAATACTTTACATTTATTTTTGTTATCGTGACTTTAGTAGTGTAATGTAAAAATAACATACAAATTAATTAAAAATTACATGAAAAAATAATTAGAATAACTCGTAAGAAATTGTTGAGGACATTAACATACATAGTAATTATTTAAACTTAAATTAATTTGTAATAAAAACATTTGATTTTAGTAAATTTGATTATTTTTGTACGTCAAAGTTCAAGATTATTTGAAGATTCACTTTAATTTTTCTTAGAATGTTAAATTAATTTTGAGACATGTTGATTGTTTAACCCTTTAACTACGAATATGCATTCCTATTCGTCGTCTATTGACGACAGCCGTAGTTAAAGGATTAAAATTATGTTAAAAATACTCAAAATAATATTCCACTTCTAAGAGACATATACAAAGTGTTAAGTTATAAAATTGACATAAATGTAATACATGAAAATGTTATAAAAAATAATAACATATAGCTTATATGTTAATTTCACACATTAAAGTACTAATCAAAACGTGGTACCACAAGAAAATTTTAACATATGGGCGCACAATTTTTTAGGGACTTTAAAAATTTTTTTTTTAATATAAAACTTTAATTCAACTCGTTTCCTGCGAATTTTGTGGCTTTATTATAAATCATTTAAAGATATATGATCATTTAATCTTAATTACTTTTTATTACGAATCATATTCCCTTTGACAGTTATTCTCCAGCATTATGACTTCTCTCTTTTCGAAAAAGAAGCTAAAAGCGAGATTTTCTTTTTACATGGATGCTTTTTTAACACGTGCAAAATTACTTCGTTTTTAATCCTCTAATTACTTTTCAGAGTTATAAAGAAAAAGGACTATATTAATAGTATACAGAAAAATCAATGGTTGCGTGTTTATTTTACAAGTTCCTACACGTGGGATAAAAAGACGCAATTACCACGATTTGCTGAGGAACTACGTATGAAAGAGAATATTAATGCTCTTGGACATATTACTTGTTAACGTATTTGATTAAATAAAGCACACACACACACACACACACACAGAACGTTCGACTCTAAAACCACAACGTAGGGTCAAGCACTGACCTATTTACGCTTAACTTTGTTGGTAAATCTCGCTAACGAATTCACATAACTGCGAAATAAATACGAGACTATTCTAAACTCTCTCTGCTCCTCTTTTTCTTCCACTTTCTTTCTCTTTCGCGCTCTTTTAAATTCATAGCCAATGTTTCTTTAAAATTTAATCGTGCATGAGCTTCTTTTATGGAACTTTCTAATTTCTTTCCACTTTCTCTTTCCAAGTATTATTTACGAGCATTTTGCGAGATGAAAGCTAAGTTGCATCTTCAAATACGCAAAATATTCTCAACTTATCATTGTTCTCACCTACGATTAAATTAATTTAAGTAATCTTCTTTAGTGAAAATTTGGAGAATTAGCTTTCTTTCTTTGCAGCTCTCTATCTTTAACATCAATTATTATAATAATTGCAGGTTAAAATATCGTTAAAAATTCATTTGGAATTGAAGTTATCCTTGAACAAGAAAACCAACTTATTCAATTTAAAATTAATTCTGTAACAACGCGTCATGACATACATTGTATAATAATATTATGTATTTTCAGATATTGTCGAAGTAACCGCACGTTTAATAACAGCCATACAGTTAATATTATAAATGTATGTTTAATATTAATAAATAATGAATGCACATATACATATATATACATATATATACATATATGTACATATATATACATATATATACATATATATGCATATGTATATATAATTGTGAATTGCTGCAAACTGCTTATAAATTATAGCTTGTATAATATATTATATATATTATTTCACTAACATATATTCTCATTTTTGGATAATCTATCTTCATAAATATTACAGCTTTATTTACATCTCATATTTTATTAATGATATAATGCTGCAATTTCTAATTAAATCTTTAATGCAAGTTATATAGACTTCTTTGTAATTGAATTGATATTTGAAATTTTCGCGATGTATGTTACACGAATATTAGCATTGGCTTCTGGGTTTGAGCTGCGTAAATTCTTTATTTGATACTGTAGCAGATTGTTCTTTCCTGTTGAAGTAAACTGAAATGTTCACGAAACGTTGGAGTCAAATAAAAAATTTACACGGCTCTGATTCGGAAACCAATCCTAATCAACTCTGTAATTGTCCCTAGAATTATTCATTTATAAATTCATTAATTAAAATATAAAAGTAGTTCTTTCAATTTTTGTCAATTTCAAGTAAAGATATTTCAAATTAATTCATAAATTAATTTTATCATCATAAGGTTTACTTAAAATTGCATGAAATTTTACTCTTACATATATTTTATTTCTCCGATTTCAATAATCAAAATCCATCCATTCCTTATTATTTATTGACTAATTTTTCGACATTCTTGTCAAAATAAAAGATATTTTTCGAATTGATTGAAAGATGGATTGATAGAAACTGACGTGATGTCATAAATCAGATGTAGCATTGTAATTTGAAATTACGTCAGATCCTAATGCGCGAATATCAAGTCACGCTTATTTTTTTTAAATATAGAATAAATAAAAATTTAAATAATATAGTTCATTTTTTAGGAAATAAATTTAATTAAGGAAATATATTCCTTTATTCTTTATATGAATTAAAAATGATAAATTTCGTGAAAATTCGGGACAAACTTAATGAAAAGTTTTTCTTTAAAAAGACTGATAATTTTTTTATCCGTATTGGAAATTGCAACTGCCGCGGGCTTATCCCTGCGTAATAAATACGCATTAACTTAATAGCCCGGCCTAATACAATCCCGGGACTATCAACGGAAATCAGGATCTCGGCCTCGCGGCTTAAACGTGATTAGCGATCAGCCTTGACTTTCGATAATACCAAGAATAACATCGGCGCACAAGTCGTACCGGGCACGGCCTTCGGTCGTCGGAATTCGGGAAATTCAGAAGCCCGAGTTCGATCATCGCCCCCGCACCCCGAGCAATGTAGCAATCGTTTATCGTTTCGCCGACACACGCGAGATCGGTCGCGATCGCGCGATATACATCAGTTCGCTGTGCGAACGTACGTTTTAATTAAAGGGCAAATTCGATTGAAATTGTCTGGCGAAGCGTGGCGGCGGTTCTAGCCTCTAACCCTCCTCATTCATCCCCTCCTCTCGCCCGAAACACAGGTCTCCCATGAATGTACATCGCGGCCGAGACTCCCCCGCATCGCGAATATCGCGCCAGCTCGCCCCTGCCATGGAAAATGGATTTTAATTTAATTCCCGCGGTACAAAAGCACACACTCGGCATGCTTTCCCCGTGCAGCCTCCCTTTCAACCCTCTCCCTCCCCACGTTAACTCAATTACGTCATCCCTGTCGTCGTGAGAGTACTTGGTCCAAGATTCAAGGCGCGCGATCCCCCATCCGTTTGTTCAACGAAAATGAGAGGAGACGAGTCGGAGAGATCGCGAGTTTGCGGCAGAAATGATTAGTTCAGGGGCGCGGAAAATTAGCGACGTTAGCGTGCTAATCAGTGATCAATTGACTGAGAAAAATTCTGTCGACGACCTGCCTTGCTAGTCTGTTCCTTATCAATCACTGTGTATGTGTGTGTGTTTGTACATGTGTGGGTATTTTTATCTCCTTTTTCTCCCTTCTCGTTTCATTTAGCATGAGAAATTTATTGAAATTTTTGCCTAGTAGGGATTCATATATTACGAGTTTTGTTGAAATGAATATTTTTACCATTACTGTGACACGCAATACCAAGTCGGATAATATATTGTGATTTTTATCTCATAAAAATGTCAAAAATTAACATATACAATTAAAATACACGGTCTGTGATTATAGTGTATGATAATCTGATAACTTTTGACACTAGCGCTTTTAACTCACCGTCATCTCGGCGCAGGAGTGATCGATAAAAGTCAATTCCGATTCCTCACCGGCCAATAGCACGCTGACAGTCTTTTCACCAGACTCATCGTCTGCAAAGTATCAAAAATTAGATTTTTTAAATATATAAATTCTACAATAATTATCATAAAATAATATCGCAAATAAAACTTTCTCATTAAATTAAAAAATATAGTACTTAAATAATTATTATATTAACAATAAAACTTGAAATATATTTCTCATAAAATTATAAAAAAAAATAATTAAATTACAAATAAATTATAAATTATAAAAATAATTAAATTATAATTAAATTATAAAAAATGTTATGATTAATAAATTAATTCAATAATTAGTTAAATAATTATAATATATAATAGTTCAATAATTTAAAAAAATAATAGCTAAATAATTAGTTAATAAATAAAATTGAGACGTGGAGCTAATCTTATAAAAATATGACTGCTTTGAATCAAATAATCATTCCATGAAATACTTTTCGTTTCCAATTCACTCCAAATACTAGAAAAAAATATGCAGATATTCATAAAATATAAATCGAATCGAATCGAATCAAGTTTTCTCATCGGTTCGGGACAAACTTGACTATCCAATGAAATCGAATAAATCGAAATAATTCTAAAACCGACGAGCATATTATTCTCGACAATTTTAATTATTTATTGCAATTACAAATGTGAGGATTGCAAAATTTATTTAAAAAAATGTATTTCATTCCTTTTCTTTATTCATTTTTTACACAGAGTTTTCGTGCATATAAATCTTTGAATGAGATTCGAGGTAAACGAGTATCTGCATTCAAGTCGGATTTGATATCGTTCGCGTACATATGGCTGAAATACGTTCGGGGATCCGGAAATATCGCGTGCCCGGGCGATTCCGTGCCGCACGCACGATTTTTCCGTGTCCGTCCGGGCGAAATAATTGCATCGCACTTTATACCGGATAAAGAGCAACACGCTCCGCCTGTTCGCGTTCCGATTCATTCAATCGGCTTTTACGGCTCTTTCATCCACGACGAAGGAGCCGTCGCGTTCTCGATCGGCCGTGGATTGGATTTTATGGCGCGGTCAACTCACCGATCGAAGTATCGTAGGCGTGCAGGTACTCGGAGGTCATAAATTGAGACACCAGGGAGCTCTTGCCGACGGCGGGGGCGCCCAACATGAGGACGCGATACGGGGCCGGACCCTGGGACGCGCTGCTCTCCCTCGAGCTGGCCAACGAACCTGCTGCCGAATTCCTCGCCGATCCCGGATACGAGGCCGTCAGGTGCTCCGTGCTGCGCCGAATAGAAGAAAGGCTAGGCGCGTATCGAGATTAGCATGGGACATGGCTGTACCGTCGATTTATATATCATATAGGGTGTTTCTTAATGAGCGCGAAAAATTCTATGAGATGATTCCTTATCGAAAATTAAGGGAGGTTTTTCATATAAACATATACTCTTACTCCATTTTGTTTTCTAGATTTTTAGATTTTTATTATAATTTTGTTTTTATTTCAATTTTTCCTACATTTACTCCAATTTTATTTTTATTTTAAAATTTAACTTCTCGTAATTCGAAACCTATGCTATTTAGCATCGTGCTGTGCACGATAACGTATTTTATTTTTTTTCTTGAAACCTACTAATTTTATGAAAAAAATAAAGGAAATAAAAAAATTTCTAAATAAATCAAACTTTTTAATGAATATTTTTAGATGATCATATTCCGGCCCATTAAAAAGTTCTGATAAAAAATTGAATAGGGGTTGCCAGTTTCATCCCCTTATAACAATATGGGCGGCTAAAAAAAATAATAAATAATCTTTTTACTGGTAGAAAATATCTACTTAATTTCACTTCTTTTACTTGTTCAAAATTTGAGAAAAAATTAAAATCTAATTTTTACCCCCATTTTTGGAGGAGTAACTCCACAGAAAGGGATGTAAGAGTATATGTTTATATGAAAAATCCCCCTTAATTTTCGAAAAATCATCTCCTAAAATTTTCGCACTTATTAGAAACATCCTGTAAATCGGGGTGGAAAAGGGGTCCGCGAGACACAATTTGCTTGGAAATTTTCGAGAAATAAAGAAAAAGTCAATCTTTGTTTTTCGTAGATTTTTCAAGCGACAATTTTGAGAAAATTTCACGGGTTACTTAAGTGCATTAGAAAGTACAGATGGTTGTCACGCACATTTAACCTGGGAATACTACAACTTTTTAAAATTAATATTACATAAAATCGCATAAAAATGCAAACTGTGTTTACTCTACTGCAAAAAATTAACAAGGTACTTTTCGATCTTTTTTATTCATTCCATATATCCATGTAAATATAATAATAAATTTTATAGAAAATATTATAGGGAAAATATGAAATATTATTTACTGTAATATTACTTACGGGACGCTTTTTCGTACGTTGTAGTATTCCATGTTAAAGAAAATGATTATCATTAATAAAACATGAATTTGAAAAACTACTTAATTAAGTACATTTTAAAAAAAAGATTGCGATAAAGAGTGATTTGCATTGCAAAAAATATAATTTAATGTAGTAAACATTATATTTTTTAAATGTTCATTAATTTAAATTGAAATTTTTGTTGCATTTTTTACTCACTTTATCACATTTTTTTAAATATATTTAAAACGAAATAAAAGAGTTTATATTAAGAATAAAGTAAAATAATACGGGAGAAAGAGAGAAAGAGAGTTTCCACTTGACTGCATAACATTATCAGATAAGTTGCCTCTTGCGAGAGGACATTTATGAACGGACGAGAAAATATGAATACTTCTGTTGAAAATTATTTAATTTTATGGTACAGGTAATCCAAAACAAATGAAAAGGAAAATTATTTTTTTATACAAATAATTTATAGAAATTCTTACATTTCATATATTTATTTCATATACCTTGCCTTCCTCCTTTCTCTCTTTTTCTCTTATAAAGTGTTATATGTGCATTTTTCTTTAAATAAATAATAGTACTTTGAGAAATGTAGCGTTTTAGTCGAATTTACTATTTCAGTAGATGCCCGAGAAATAGGACTGCAGCTCGAGAGCTTAATTTACTAAAGCCTTTTAGCCTTTATTACTCGTATGAATCGTTGAGTAACAACAGGCTACATTTTTGTCTCGATATATCTTTCCTCTGCGATGTAAGTAAATAATAAAAACATTACACATATGATCGTACGTCTCATAAAATTTTTAAACTTTGAAGACATGTTCTATGAGGATATAACATGATTTTATCTGGCGGAAATTTCCTCGGCTGTACGTGCTGCCTCTTCGCATAAAAATTTCAGAATTTCCAATGTCAAATATTTTAAGCAATGGAGTGTCAAATCAAGATTCTGTTAAACTCCACTCGAAATTAACTGGGAAAACTCTGCAGCTCGGAAGCTTAATTTACTAAAGCCTTTTAGCCCTTAATGTTAAACACATTTATAATTATAAACGTTCTCCGGCTTAAAATTTCGCAGAGAAAAGGTCAAGTCCGACTTTTGTCATGAAATATGCGCCTGCAATTAAATTTTAGGAAATATTTTACACATATACTTCTACATTATACACTGTAAAAAATATTCTGCAAACATTGTATCGGAAATACGCTTTTTTCTCTTCGTTTTATATATCGATATCGAACTCAATAGGATAGCATCTAGAGAGGGAGAAAGAATCGTAATAGGTTTATTCAATCGCGCGTGAATATTCAACGTTTTGTACCTCGATCAGTAAAATCTGAGTAATAAGATCAGCGTTTATAACGACAGGATTAGTTACCAGAGCCATTCGTTCCATATTTCGTTTATTTATTTCGATAATATACGCTGTTATACTTGTATATTTAATGTTATATCATACATGTTGTTTTAAAGCAAAGCTTGGGATCACAGATCAAACGTGTTTCATATAGCAAAAGTTGTATTTTGAAAAGTATTTTGTTGTTTTAAAGCAAAGGGATCACAGATCAAACGTGTTTCATATAGCAAAAGTTGTATTTTGAAAAGAATCATTATTAATTATTATTAATTACAATGTTATTATTATTTGCAAATGTTACCTGCAAAAATAATAAATTTCCCCGCGGGAAGATGAAGTTCAAAATTAAATTCCTTTTACGCAGAATTTTAATTTCAGCAAACATCAACATGTGTGACATACAAACTACTTCAGATCCAAAATATTATACAAGCTGCGATACACTCAGTGCGTAACATTTCACGTAGGAAAAATATCGTTTTGAAGTGTAAAATACAAACATACGCTTCAGGAAACGAGAGATATGGAGTAATATCTTATATCTCTCAAACGTTTACGTCAACTGCAGTAGTATTTATTTGAAATAGTACTTATTTGAAATCCTATATCCAGAACCTCTCGATATATTACATTTGCACGATGTTCGAGGACCACGCTTTAAGGTCCAACGCGCGTGTCTACGTCACGTCAATGCCACACGTAAACTCACGCGTTCGATCTAGAGCGACGGCCCGGCCCGGCTCCTACGACAAGAAGAGGGTGAACCGGAGATAGAGGCCGGAGATATTCTACGGCGGGCTCCTTCCGAGCGGAGCAGACGAAGTAGTACAATCGCAGATATCGCCGACCGGCCGTGGAGTAATAAGTGGAACTGTCGATATTGTTACGGCTATCGACACTCCGTTAACAAAAATACATTCTTGTCAATTTTCCCTTGAAATCCCCTTTATGCCCCGTGAATAAAGAAAATAAGTTTACGGCGATAGGGAACATTATTTTATGAAGATGGAGTCAATTTTATTGATGGTTAATATGACTGTCTAAATGACTGGTTAAATGAAATATGGAAGTCGAACTTTTACCTTCATTTCCATATTTCATTTAAGTAGGGAGAATACGAGATATTATTTCGCAAGTACAGTGTTGTTCAAAAGTACACAGTAAAAAATAAAATGTTAATTATAACATTTTTCACGCGTCCCAGAAAGTCCACTCTAAATTTTGAGTTAAAATCACTCACTCGTCGTATGTTATTTATTGACAAACTAAACATGTTAAATAATTGACTCAATACTTTACATTTATTTTTGTTATCGTGACTTTAGTAGTGTAATGTAAAAGTAACATACAAATTAATTAAAAATTACATGAAAAAATAGTTGCAATAATTCGTAGGAAATGTTGAGGACATTAACGTATAATAGGAATTATTTTAACGTAAATTATTTGTAATAGAAACATTTGATTTTAGTAAATTTGATTATTTTTGTATGTCAAAGTTTAAAATTATTCGAAGATTCACTTAAACTTTTCTTAGAATGTTAAACTGACTTTGAGACATGTTGATTGTTTAAAATGATTATGTTAAAAATACTCAAAATAATATTCCATTCCTAAGAGACATGTACAAAGTGTTAAGTTATAAAGTTGACATAAATGTAACACGTAAAAACGTTATAAAAATAATAACATATAAGTTGCATGTTAATTTTACATTAAAGTACTAATTAAAACGTGGTAACACAAGAAAACTTTAACAAATGGACAATTTTTTACTGTGTATTAGGGTCCTGATATTTGAAAATTGTGGAGAGAATGTTTCCATTTCGTGGGATGTGTATCGCGTTAATTGAGCTTACCTGGAATTGCTGGATGCAACGCTGTTATTAGAACGCGACCTGCGACTCTTGAGGGAGTCGCCCCGGTTCACCACTCCTTTGCCCGTGATACTGAAATGCCGTAATCTGTAATATTCCTCCTCCACGCCGGTGTTGGGCATACTCGCCACTCGTGATCTCTGTTGCGGAAGACACAGGTAATTTGGTCGACCGGAAGAACGACTGCCGGGGGCCTTCACCGACTGCGACCGGCTGTGATGGGGACTTCCATATCTGCGGTAGAAAATGACACGATTGCTACCATTCGGATATACTGAATATACATGGGATGGAATCCCCAGAAGGAAAAATCAATATTTTACGAGATATGGAGTGTTGACGATCTTTATAAAATATCTCCTAAAATATAATATATATTTCTAAATAATTCTTTTGAAATTCTTCGAAATAGTTTAACAATTGTGAGTAAAAGGGGCTAATAAATATGAGTGATAAATAAATTACAAAGAACATCCATTAAAGTTAAAAATATAGAATTTTGAAAAACTTTTTAAAATATTTGAGAAACACACATTTAATATTTATCAAAAAAATCAAAATCTTTCTTTTAATCAGGCAACTTTTTTATCATTTATAATATTACACGTATCTTTAAATTTAAATCAGGATAATCCTACTATCCATAATTGAATACTTGTTGATGGAACAGATTTTTTTTATTCATAATGCTTGTGTGTGTGTGTGTGTGTGTGTAATATTTTTCCGAAATATGGATTTTTCCTTCTGAGATATCCTGTATAAGTCCGTAAATATTGAATATCCTCGGTTAAAACTTCCGACAAGATTTCAGAGAGGAAACTTTTCCTCTTACTGCGATCGAGAGAACACATCAAATTATTTTAAGATACATGAAGGAGATAATATTTTTATTAAGCTCTTTTTTCATATACATATAACTAAGTAATTTCTGTTAGATTTATTTATTATTTATTTATTTCATTACATTATACATATAAAGTGCTATTTAAAATTTTTTTTTAATATCTCAACATCTTGCTCGACGTTTTTCAAATGTATCATTGAAAATATTATCGAAAATTAATTCTGAAAATATTACTAACTAATAATTATGCAAAAGATCCAAGATGATGATGATAATATTATATCATGAAAAATCAATAATAAAGCGTGTCAGTTTAATTTTGGTCAGCAAATATTCTTAGTTCTCTTCTAAAAACAAAGCTTTATCCGCGCCAACAAATATAATCATATTAGGAGTTTCAAAATAGACCGGCCAAGTCTCATCCATTAGTTACATCCCTCGGACATTCAAATCTTCACGAAGCCTGTATGGCCGAGAGATCGACCGTGTCGTTTCATAGCAACCGAGAAATCGCGGCGGCGATCAAGATTACTCGCTCACCTCATCTCGAAGTCGTGTATCTCCTGCAGGGTGAGGGTGTTGGCGACGTCTAGCAACTGCCGCATGTTTTCCTCGCGTCGTCTGACGTCGGCGTCCGGATGCAGCAGGATCGTCGCCGCCGGCGCGTCCAGAGATAGGGATGGCTGTTGTACGACGATTGTCGCCTGGGTCGATCGTTTACCGGCGCCGCCGGCGCTTCCGCCTTTCGGGTATGAAAAATTCACCATCCGTTATCCCTCATCCGGGCTTGTTTGCTTGTTTTGCGGGTCACGAGGACCGACGGGGTAGAGAAAGAGCTCGTTCTGCTTCGTCTCCGGCCCCGTCTGCTTCCTCGTGACCCCCTAAATTCCACCCTAACGCGTTTTCGAGATTCTTAGGCTCGCCCTTTTCGGTTCCCTTCCTCGAGGCGAGATCGCCAGGAGGGTGCGTTTTACGTCAGATGCGTGCCTGGCGACATATTCGCCTTTGTATCCCGACGGAACCGCCGTCACTCGTCACTATATTATCGCTGATGATTGTGCCTCGCTTCCGATATAACGGCAGAACTTCGATAGGATTGACATCAATTGCAGCGGAACAAGTTTCGATATTGTGATATTTGCACAGGCTAGGTCAGAGATCATTATCTCCAGAGATTTTCCACAGTTGTGATTAGATAGAAAATGAGAAAACTATTGTAGCTTCTCTCGTAAAAAAAGAGAACAGAATCAATTAAAATGATTTTTTTCTCTTTATCATTTAGGTCATATTTTACGCTATTTTCCAGTCTTATCTAGCTTACATTTATTTGACATTTATATAAAGTATGTCAAATCGATGGCGCTGCAACTTCCATCTACGGAGTCTTTTGCCAAAGAGTGGAGAATCAATATTCCCTCAAAAGACGTGTCGAAATATAAATACCCAGCAAATACCAAATAACTGTTTGTTATAATTTTTCCCACTCAATAATATAACTGCTACATATTATATAAATGTTATATAAATGTTATATAAATATTAATTGGTGTTTGATAGTTTCCCAAATATAAACGAATGAGAAATAAGAGTGTAAAAGTTCGTTCTCTGATTAATTTGACAAGAAATATTAATCTGCGGCTCGCGGCTTGAGAAAAAAAAAGTATTTAGTATCGGAATCTGATGTAATTTAAAAGCGCTGAATTTTAAATACGTTATACACTCTTTCGCACTATACATATATAATGCGTCGAACTAATTTCAATTTTTTGATGAGTTTGATATCAAAGTTTAAAGGTGATTGCTCAGCTGTACCGTATTTCATATAATAACATCCAATTAAGTTTTCGTTAAGGAAAGCCAGCTTGTTTTCAGAATCGATTACACAATTCTCCTCTAAAAGTCCAAGGTGAAAATTTTCGCACCAATTACGATAATTACTTTTTTGAAATTTTTTGAAAACATTCAATTAAGAGAGGAAATTATTCGATTAAATGATATATTCGAAATAATAAAGACCGAAAGGTGAAAAAAGATTCACTGGCGATCGCATCGATTGGCTCGCGAATCTGTAGATGGATATTCGCTTTGAACAACTTTTGTAATTACTTTCCGAGATAAATTAGATTACAATCCTAACAATAATAATCACAGCATGATCCTGCTATGTAGAAGGTAGTTGTGGCTCATAAACTTTTTTCATCCGAGATTGTTCTCGGTGTAGTAATTTCTAACCCAGCCTGAAGGTCGACAAGGATCTTTAAGACGAACAAACTCCTCGTTTAAACAAAAGTTTTGCAATCTGCGAACTCGCGCAATTGCAATTACCGAGATTCCATCCGGCACTGACGGACGGAATAATAACGAGGATTGTGGGTAGCGAGGACGGCGATCCCACGGATATCATGGTGTGTGTGTGTGTGTGTGTGTGTGCGTGTGTATGTGTGTGTATGTGCGCGTGTATGTGTGTATTTGTGTATACAAGTGAATAGAAACAAATAGGTAACGACAAAGCGTGATTCGACAGCAGGAGTCGCAAGCTGCATTCTCAAGTCTTCTCTTTCGCGCTGTTAAACGATGCGACGTAGCCAAAGCAAGCCGATCGCGTTGCAAAGATCGATATCGCGCATGGATTGAAACAGGTTTTGAGTTCTTTCGAATTTCATTTTTCAGATTTCTTATCTTGCGGATTCGATTCGACACGATTCTGATCGAACGTGATGAAATTAAGATTAATTCTTTCGAGCTCCTCTTTTTCTGAACAGTATTTATAATGGAATATAAATATACTCTACACAGTAAAAAATAAAATGTTAATTAACATGTTTCACATGTCCTAGAATGTCCATTCTAAATTTTAATAATTCATTCGTATATTACTTATTGACAAACTAAAAATGTTAAATAATTAACTCAACACTTTACATTTATTTTTGTTATCGTGACTTTAAGTGTAAAAATAACATACAAATTAATTAAAAATTACATGAAAAATAGTTACAATAACTCGTGAAAAATGTTGAGGATATTAACATATAATAGTAATTATTTTAACTTAAATTATTTATAATAGAAACATTTGATTTTAGTAAATTTGATTTTTATACATCAAAGTTCAAGATTATTTGAAGATTCACTTTAACTTTTCTTAGAATGTTGAACTGACTTTGAGACATGTTGATTGTTTAAAATAATTATGTTAAAAATATTCAAAATAATATCTCATTTCTAAGAGACATATACAAAGTGTCAAGTTATGAAGGTGACATAAATGTAACACATAAAAATGTTATAAAAATAATAACATATAGATTGTATGTTAATTTTACATTAAAGTACTAATTAAAACGTGGTAATACAAGAAAATTTTAACAAATGGACGCACAATATTTTACTGTGTAAAAGTAATATTAATTGAAATTTAAAAAAACATCACTGTTAAATATATAAAATACACACATGTAATATTAAATAAAAAGTAGATTAATTATAAATAAACTACGTATTCTCTTTTGCATAGATAAAATGTTGCAGTTTATGTATATCAAATGTGTCTTGTTCAATTGAAGTCAAACTCGTGAAAACTAATCTTAATTGCATTCAATACGATTAGAATCTTTTGTATCGAAATGCTTAAGCATTTTCCTATATCTATAACAATGAGATAAAAATGAGATCTGAACGAAATTATACTAATTCGATCAACATCGCGGCTCTATCGCCGATGAATCTAGCATCTCATGTTCTATCGATCAATCTACATCTATTTATTTCTATCTATCTATAACGACAAATTTACATTTTGTGATACACACAGAGGAAAGCAGAGGTATGAAAGAGGTAGAAATTTTAAATGCCAAGATCTAGATATGTGACTTTAAATTTTCTAAAATGTATAAATTTGAAATAATATAATAATGTGTGTGATGCTATTCGGGAATACTTCAGATCTTAAAGATAAAAATTAAATCAAAATCAAGAGCCAAATAGTTCTTATGTCAACTTTGATTTAATTTTGATTTATTTATTTGAGTCAAATTTCTAACTATTAAAGATGTGTAAAGTTCAAGATGTAAATATAATAAATTTGCTAAAATTTACGCGTTAATTTTATGGATGATGACATAATGAATATATTTCATGTTTTCATCTCCTCCTTCATGTGGGTCGCTTTCATATTAAATCAAGTTAGTGGAGACTTAATTAATTCTTTTTTCGCTCTTGTCTTTTGAAATATAATAGAATTATTTAAACCTCCTTTAATTTTAATACGTATGCGAACAAAAATCACACTAAATCGTACTAAGATCGATACATCTCGCGTACGCAACAGATTTTCAATTAGCGATCAAAGCAACGGCGACGTTATTCCCCTCGGCTACGGCTGCCATCGCTTACATCGCAAAATTCGCGGGACAACGAGTGGCAACATTAGAAACGCCGACGTCGCATTTCACAAGAATCAGGTCTCGCGAGGGCGAGGAGTTTCGTCAAGGACGTAATATCCATTGCCACGCTCTTTTTTTCTACCTTTGGCTCCTCTCGCGGGGCCGATAAACCTCGTCGCCGCTCGTTGTCGTTGTCTGAAATCGGCGCGAAAGAGACACAAGCGTGATCGACAACGCAAGGAAGAGGGTGGAGATGCAGCGAAAACAAGAGATGAAGAACAAAGGTGAAGAAGCCCAAGCGCATTCGCATATGTGTGTTACCGTATTGTATCCACGTAACACCAAAAAGAGTGGCCGCCGAAAGGCCGGAAGAACCGTCTCTCTCACTCATTCACACACATCATCATCATCATCATTGTCAACGTCGTCGTCGTCGTCGTCGTCATTAACGTTATTGTCGCCGGTCATTGTTCAGTCTCGCGCGCTTTCGACGGCCGCCCTGTGGATACGGAAATGACTATATCGTCTATTCGCCGGACTATGTAATACCTATTGCGCAAAACGGGAAAAAGAGCCTGACCCATGAATGAATGGCTGAAACGAGTGGATGAGATTCTGAAAGAAAAGAACATCAATTCATTTCCTTAGAGCTATCGTCCATTTCTCTCGTCTCCTCTCGTTTCCTCTCCCTCATGCATATAAATACGCACACACACGCACACGTACGCACGGGGTTGATTTACACCGATATCGATTGACGCTCCAACTCTGATTAGTCAGATTATTTGCCTCTTCCATTTGTGCGAGGTCTTTGAAACTTTTCGTAAAATTGGCATCGAGAAAAATAAAGTAATTTATATTTTCAGATAAATAGGACAATAATGATAGAATTAATAGTTTAGCGTATTTTAATCAATTTTAATAGCTTTTATTTAATTTAATAATTAATTTAATAATTTAATATTTAATTTAATAATTTTGACGCGGATATAAAAAAGGATTGCATGTCAGTTTTGTCAGTTAATACTTTTCTGTCATCTCTCTATGCTATAGATAAGACCACGAGTATATTATAGACCATAATACCTCTCTTCTTGCAATCTAGAGACAGCGAATCGCTAACTGGAATTATAATACTTTAAAGAACTCGACAGCAGAGTCAGTCGATGGCCTTGGTTAAATAACTCTGGTTAGCGATCGACAGCCTCGACTAAGTAACATACAAGTAAAGAATAAGGTGGGCGATTCACGGTCAATGTTAAACCGAGGTTGCCGGTTTTCCGTCTTTCAATTTGTAATGATGGCCACGAGCGAGCGATCGATCTCCATTAGCAGGATTCAGGTTGATCAAGTAAATTACCATGGATATGAATTAAGGCAACGAGACCGGAATGAGACAGAGGGAGAGTGAGACAGAAAGCGAGTGAGAGAAAGAGAGGAACACTCGCGAGATTCGAGGGAGCGAAAAGTCGATGGGGTGAAAATTTGGATCTTTGTTTTTATCGCGAGAAGGACACGACGTGATTCATGTTGTCGCGGTTTCGATTTCAAACCTCGCCGAACGTCGCATTTTTAAGCAACGGATGCGTCAACGTGACACTTTCACAGAGAACAAGAGGATTATCGAGAGACTCACCTGCCGATCGTCCTCGGGATTTCGTACTCGTGCCACCCTGGACATTGCAGCCCTGAGTGTTGCACGGCTGTGTCGCACCTATGAGCGATATATCGAGTGGATTGGTCGTCACGTTGATGTTGGGCCTCTTTTGGCTCCGCCTGTGATCGGCGATGCCCTTCTCGAGCGGATTCGCCTGAATCGAGTTGACCTTTCCGCCGGTCATGTAATCGATCTGATATGCCATCCTGTTCTGCTTCTCCTGGACGGCCACCAAGTTCCGAATCGAGGAGCGCGTGTCGATCGAATCAGGTTGGCCCGCATCCACGGAGCCCCTCACGGGGGTGCTAAACATGGAAATGTAATGGTAACGAAATTGTAGGGGAATAATCTTCGTCGCGATTGTGCGAGAGGCAGTGATTGACAAGCTCGCAGCCGAACCATAACTGTTTTTAAAATTCCATTTGCCAAACTCGGATGAAATTTAGGACACGGGATCAATTCGGAAATTGCTCTTGGAATTCATAGCTTATCCGCAAACTTTGCACTTATCCCGGGGGAAAAAGATATCGAGAGTAGAAGGCACGTAGAGTCCCTTAAGAAACCTCAGTCTTACCCAAAGTAGAGAAGAGAAGTTCTTTAATCGGGAAATTATTGCACGAGATAGCGATTCAACATCAGGAGAAGAGTAATGTAGCTGATAGTTTTATAGAGATAAAGTTACATTCTCTATAAAATCTTCCCAAAATTTTCTTTTCAAGGTAAAGGAATATCGTGCAGAAGTTTTCAAAATATTTTTATCAATATTTCTAATTTAAACTCTAAATTTTTTTTCAACATTAACAGAGCATTCTTTTGAAGTGCTTCGTGCATTAAATCGTATATTTCTTTCGACTCGAGTTGCCAATAAAATCGATCAAGCTACGTACCTGAAGAAGTCCGCGGCTCTGAGATCGGGAAGAGGCGGGGTTCTGCCGCTGCCGCCGAAGGTGAACCTGGTCTCCTGGTGCGCCCCGATCATCGGCGTGGGTGGCGGAAGAGCCGACGTGCCCTCGGCGCAGTTACTCGCGTGTCCCTGACCAATGGTAGCGCTAATCGCCTTGGGATTGCCGTCCGATGGCCTGTCCGAGTCGAGTTTCGAGCGGGAGCAGCGGCTCGACGGTCCTGCGACCTCGGGCCCGTCGAAGGCGCAGAGCGATGACGTCGGCGACGACGGAAGCGGCAGCGGCGGTGTAGTTTGACTCGCCGGCGCAGCGACGGAGATGGGCGACGTGGGCGATGCAGGCGACGAGTTGCGGCTGCCCGTGGCCATGTCGTCGGAGTGTCCAACGAGATGGATGGGCGACGATTGCGACGGGGCTGTAGCGGGAGGCGACATTTCGGCCGGCACGTCGATTAGGTCGAAACTGTCGTCTGGCTGCTCCCCGTCTGTCGTCGTCACCTGGAGAAAATTGTGTCGACGATATATATTATTGAGTTATATTATGGAGCTAATTTTTTATATTTTTATATTTTATACGTATATTTGAAAATTTTTATACATATATTTTTATATTTATTTATTTTATATTTAATTTTTATATTTACTTTTATATTTTATATTTTACGAAAATTCAAAAATCTTTTCTTCAAAAAGAGATATAAGTACACATGCAGAGGGATCGAGTTTTCATATTCGAAAATAAAATTTTTCTTGTATCAAAAATATATCGAAATATTAATAATGAACAAATAGTGAGCAATTAAAATAAATAAGTAAATAAATAAGTATATTATTAATAAATTCGAGGAAAATATGCAGATAGATACAATTAATTTTTAGTTATTTTGTGATATTTCTTGCAAATTAAAATTTCGCTTCAATTTTGTTAGAAAGAATCTATCAAGATTTTTCACATAAATAGATAATTTCTTATTAAGCTTAAAGAAGCTTAACTTATATGATTTAAATGGAACGTGGGAATTTTTAAGGAAATATCTTCAAAGTAAGAAAGAAGAGAGAATTAGACATTTAAATTAAATTGTTTGATATATTACATCATTTCGAAGATATTCACCCATTATTCGCATCTTTGCGAACCCGGATCTACGAATCATTTCTTTTGATGACATTTCAGAGGGAAAAAATGCGATTCTTGGTAATCGTTTAATACACAAGGACATATTTGTTAATTCATTTAAAATTAATTTAAAGTATCATGCCCCCTAAGCGAGAAACGTGTATGAGGTTCGCACGTTGCTTTTGTGCTTAACTGCACGTTGAAATATGGATAGTAAGCACGCAAAGGTGCCTATTAAAATCCAACACGAAAAACATATTTTCCTCGATGTGGATTCGTTGAACAGTATACGTCGAGATACATTGTATCGATATCGGCATGCAATTTATTAACTTTGTTCCTCGATGTAATATCGCGGCGCGCGCGTACCTTTAATTATAACACTTCATTAATACTTGATATCATAATATTTATAATATCAAATAATAACGCTCATAATTTGTTCAACTTTAGCCTTAAAAGCATGCAATATAGCTGGTTGTTGATATCGATGTACTGAAAATCTAATATTACGCTTATATATATATGTTCGAATATTATAGAGAATCAAGAAAATGATCAATAACATGCATTTCAAAAATCGAAATTAGTAAGCTAATAAAAAATCTTGAGTTTATAATAATAAACGTAAATTTAATTTTAATTTTAATTATGATTTCAAGTCTTTTGACTTCAACTTCAATTTTAATATTAATATCAATTTTATTTTTATTATATTTTTATTATAATAACAATCAAGAAAATGATCAATAACATGCATTTTAAAAATTGAAATTAGTAGACAAATAAAAAATCTTACTTTTATAATAACAAACGTAAATTTAATTTTAATTATGATTTCAAGTTTTTTAATTTTAATTTCAACATCAATTTTAATATCAATTTTAATATCAATTTTAATATTAATATCAATTTTATTTTTATTATAATAACAATCAAGAAAATGATCAATAACATGCATTTAAAAAATCGAAATTAGTAGGCAAATAAAAAATCTTGATTCTATAATAACAAATGTAAATTTAATTTTCATTTTAATTATGATTTCAAGCCTTTTGATTTTAATTTCGACTTCAATTTTAATATTAATTTTAACTTTATTTTATTTTTTATTATAACATATTTACTATGAAAAGAGTATATATACATTTAACATTTACAATATTCATTCGGCATATACGCTTTTAAAATATTCATATTGTGACATTATATCGCTCACGCACAGTGTGACAAGTGAGCGAAGGGGAATACGTAATTCTTATTTTTGTTAGATAAATTTTCAATTAAAATTATATGTTAGAAATCAAAAGATTATTTATAACAAGTGCATTAAATATCAAACGTCTCTATAGTATTATTAATGTAACAATATTGTGTCCATGCATGCATTGATGATGTAGAATAAAATATTACTTACAATAGTAATGAATCATTAATAATATTTTAAAGAAATCAAGCTTCATATTAAAATAAATTTATTATAGCATAAAATAGAATTTAATATAGAGACTTTGGAGAACAATTATATATGTGAAACTATTGTATATTAATTAAACATTTATCTAACGAATAAAAATTATTTCCCTTTAAATCGTTTACTTGTCACTGTGCCCGGATATTAAATTTACATGTCAAATTTACATTGTTCAGCGAAATTATCATTTATTTTTATTTTGTTTGCCATCCATTTTCCCTACCATAGTGAGCATCGTATTGGCGCTGTCGGTGCTCGTGTTGATCGTTGTTTCCGACGCCGTGCTGGAGCCCATGACCACGACTTTCGGCACCGTCCGGCAGCTACGGCTGCCGCCCGCCGACTTGAAGTTGAACCGCCGAATCGCGGACGAAAGAAGGTCACCGTCTCGTCCGCCGCCGCCGCCACCGCTGCCACTGTCAGCCCCATGTTGCCCGCGCGATGGCTGCGACTGCGATGTATCCCCCTGATCACACGCGTTACTTCCCAAACTGCCACATCTGGTTGCCGATTCGCGATTCCTCGAGCACCCCTGCGGCAGAATCGCTCGTCCATTTTTCCCAATATTTCATTCAAATGTCATTATTCAACAAATCACATGATTAATGGATTAACAAGGAATAAAATCAAGATTTTTAATGAAAGAAAAAAACGCACTTGGGATTTGTGTTCCGGGGTGGACGGTGGATTCGGTGTGTTCGGCAGCGAGCCCCCCGCAGGGGTACAGTGCCGCAGTCGCGCCAGGGCCGTGCGAAGCCCCTCCGTCACGAGGCTATTTTATTGCTTCCTCGCCGCTCCCCCGAGCCACCCTCTCGCGCGTCGCCCTTTTCTCGCTTCGGCAGCCGTCTTCTCTCGACGATCTCTCGGCCGGATGCGCGAAATCCACCCGCTGCCGCTCGCCGCGGGGATGACGACCCGCGTGGGAGTCGAGAGATTCACCAGCCCAACGCTGCCACGTGCCGCTGATTGTGCCGCGCGCCGTTTATCAACCGTTGCATTCACCATCGCACACTTGTGCTCCCATACGCGACCCGACTCTCCCCTTTGTTCCGTTTGTTTTCCCTCGATCTACCTGGAGGCACAATGGGAGTAATAACATCAATCGTTATAGAACATTGAATTCTGGTTTCTGATTAGTGGAAATAATTATTATGCGATAGTTTCATGATTTATGACAATGATCAAAATATATTAAGATTACTCTCGATTGTGACTGAATTGTTAATCGTGAAATACACGCGTTTTTTTTAAATTATAATTAATTCCATAAATTATATACGGGATGTTTCATAATAAGTGCGAAAATTTTAGGAGATGATTCTTTGTCGAAAATTAAGGGGGATTTTTCATGTAAACATATATATCCTACATCCCTTTCTATGGAGTTACACTCCTCCAAATGGGAATAAAAATTAGGTTTTTATTTTTTTCTTAAATTTGGAACAGGTTAAAGAAATGAAATTAGGATATTTTCTACTAGTAAAAAGGTTATTTATTAATATTTTTTTCAGCCTCCCGTATTGTTATAAAAGGGAATGAGCCTAGCAACCCCTATTCAATTTTTTATTAAAACTTTTTAATGTTTATATGAAAAATCCCCCTTAATTTTCGACAAAGAATCATCTCCTAAAATTTTTCGCACTTGTTGAGAAACATCCTGTCTTATCGAAATATTTGGAAAAATAATGATGATTTTTCATATTTTAATTTTAAATTCGTATTAATAATTTATATCATTTTTTGTGTTGCATGGAAATAATTTTTCAACAATTTCTCACAATTATCGTATTACATGTAATAAAAATACATTTTATCACGAGATATCAATCAAGTATATCCAACAAAAATATTTAATAAGGAGAGGAAGTATTAATCTTTCTCATATTTAATGATTATGATTGATAACTACAAATTATAAATGCCGTGATTAATAATCTCAATAATGATGATTAATTGTTGCATTGATTATTAATTATGATTATTAATTATGATTATTAATGATTTTATTAACAGCTTACGGTCAATATATTTCTCATATTCAACAAATTTTAAATAGAAATTTTTGTAAAAATACATAAAAATTGATTACGTTTTCTGTTATACATTTCATTCATGAACAATGTATTGAAAGTGCGAAGTGCATGTTTATATTTTATTCATACATGAAATATTAAACAGCAAGATGTTAATTATTTATTAATTATCATGAAAATAATTATGTTTGGCTAAATAGAGTGAAAATATTAGAGTGAAAATTACAAAATAATTGTTGTAATTGTGGAACATACTAATAACTTATGAAAAAATTTTTGAATTTTGAATTTTTTATAATATTATTTTTATAATATTAATTTTTAATAATATTATACACTTATTATATTGTGTTTTATAATACAAAGAAATATTGTAATTATTCCAATATCTGGATGCACGAAAAAAATGCATATTATTAAGAAACAAAGTAAATACTTAATATACAATTAGTATACAATTAATATACAATTTTTAATAATAATTTTCATAACTAATAAATAACTTCTAATGTCACTAGATTTCAGCTTTACAATTAATATTGCAAAATAGAATGCATTTTTCACGTAATTTGTACCATAAGTTTTTCTCCGTGAAGGGCGCTTCGATTAAGCTGTAGAATGATAACAATTTCTGTCTGCGATTCAAGCCTCGAGGGAGCATTCGAAACGCGTACGAAGAGCGAATATTGAAATCCACACTGTCTCTCGCCTGCACGAAATTCAGGAATTCTTGCAATATCGCACTTCAAGTACGGTAAACGCTGAAGCTCCCATGTTCGAGACAACTGTGAGCTGTCGTGCGGCAATTTTCATCGTAGATTCACATCAGTCACTGTACACGCGATACAACGTGGCGTTACTACTTACCATATCGGAAACAGACTGTTGAAAAAAGTTTCTATTAACAATCTCTCGCAACGATGTGCCGCGGATAAAGTAAACATCGAAGTCGCGTGTACGGCGAGTAGTAATTTAAGTTCGATCGATTAGAGATTAGAATTCTCTGAGATTTCTTTTTTCGAAACTCCGTCTTATTACACGACACGCGTTGAATCAACATGCTTTTATCCTGTTATTTTTAGTGATTCCTGATATTTTTAATTTTTTTAATATTAAAAATATAATAATTAGTGTTCATCGATTAAAGCCGATCAAATTTGAATAAATTAAAATAGAAATTCTCGTAATAATTTATTGAATCGTCCTTCACGTTTCGCACTGTAATTTATTTAATCAGAGAAGACTAGAGAGAACTAAAATTTAAAATTAAATATCATATCGTATTTGTTGATATATTTAAAAAATCATTAAATTTTTTAATTAATTTCTCTTCTCTTAATAATATTATTCTTGTATTAACATAAGCCATATTTGTGAAATATCTCAATGTATTTGTTGTATTAAAAAAATCACCAAGTTTTTAAATTTATTTCGCTTCTCTTAATAATATTATTCTTGTATTAATATAATTGTATTGTATAATTGTCTAATCATTCGGAATAAAAAGACCTTTTTGTAATATTTCTTTTTTAACAAATATGTTTTTTATAATTTAGACAAGTAAAATTGGCTACCAAACTTTAACCGAGGCAACCTACAAAATAAAAAAATCTTATTTATTTTTTCTTAAGAAAATATATTCTCTATGGTTTTTCATTCCATACACAAACAATTTGAAAGTGACTTGCACCGAGTTTGGAACGTTATTATTTGCTACAAGCAATTAAGTGGACTCTCCCCAATTACCTTACATATCATCCATCAATCTCTTCGGTATACATGAAGGCGCGTTACTCTGTCGCAAAACACTCTTGTGATGTCGAAACATCGTCACTCCCTTTGTCCCTCGTCGGGTTTCTGTAAATTCCGAACGCCTGTAAGAGGAGCACAAAGGGATCAGATGAGACGAGACGAGACGAAACGAGGAGACGAATAAGAGGATACAAAATGGAGCGCGTTTGTACCTCACTTCTATGTTTTACGAGTTCTCGCTTATATAATGACGAGTCTGATTTCTATCCTAATTTCATTTCGCTTCCGTCTTAGAAACTTACGGGACATCCGACACATAAAATTCTTAAAAAGACGAAATCGGGCGATGACGCGCGCGCCTCTTGGAAAAATTGCACTCGTAAATCAAGCGATAGAATGCGTATTACGCTCATAAATTGGAAGGAAAGACGTATCTGTTAACTCTCTATTCAGGGCACAGGTATCGACAAATTTATATTCAAAGTAAAATATAATCTATTTTACGCCTAGTTTTCGAAATCATCAATTTATTATTAAATTAAATTATTTCTTAATTAAATTATTTCATAAATAAATTATTTCTCGATTGAAATTTGGATTTCTTCCATTAATGTATCATCTCGTTCTCATATTTGTTTTGAAAAGTTTAACTAGAAAGCAGTGCATGAAAGCAAATATCCCGCAATCGTATATTAAGATAAAACCTAGTAACTCGCAGCAATTTCGCATATATTTTCGCAATAGCGCGGAATATAAATTTACCAAAATAAATACACATTTTTCAAACTTTGTACTGCAAACAATAAAGATGAATTATTGCGTCGAGCAATATTGGTGGTGTCGAAGGAAAAACAAAATGCCTGATATTTCATTCAACAATACGGAAACCACTTTGCGCGAGGTTTCAAAATGGATAGAGGTAATTACAGTCGCTATTATTTTATATAAAAGCTTTTATTGTCGACATAAAATAGCGAATCATTTATCGTCGGAAAACCTGGCGGAAAGAACGACGCTTAATCGCAAATATCCGCTTCGATCCGTCGCAATTCTGCTTCGATCCAAAGCGCCGAAATTATTTTGGATCGCACAAAGAGTTCAAAAGGAATCTCCCGTGTTAACTATTTTATCAAGTTAACGAGCCGAGATTCGCTTTATATCTATTAAGTTTATATTGAAAACACGTTGATGCAGTTAACGCGGAAATATTTTCATTACTATTTGTCATATATATATATAAATGGTAGATTAGCTTTTCCGGATATTACGGTCGTGTGGACACAGTGCTACGTACTCTGAGACACACAATTACACCCTCATGTCCGGCGATGAGCCGAGTCCGAGTAAATGCATCGATTAATTACAGTACGGCTCGTTTCTCTAAACGCTTCCCCTGAGAATGACTGGTTTCTCGTTGCACTAACATAAGTTGCACGTACCTCAAAACGAGTAAAAATAAAATCATCGATCAAAAAAGGCAAAGAGAAATATAATATACGAATTATGTTGCATAACAATATTAATATACAAATTATATATACATTTGAATACGTTAATTTGTACAGAATCAACTCCCAAATTGATCAAAAGGCTTATAAATGAAAAAAAAACTCGCTTACTAAAATATTCCGCCAAAATTTCGATATTATGAAAGCAAATATTGAAATAGCAGACCTTTGACATTTGCATTTTACTAACATTTATAGCCATTCGAAATTATCTGCGAAGAAGAGCAACATTATACGATTCTCACGTGCAATTTGATAAATATTATTGCAAATATTTTACATCGAAATATAATGGTAATAATAGAACGGAATTTTTCAATTGAAGTTTCCTTCCGTCAAATCAATATATTAATATCGTGTCACAGTTTCACTGACAATTTATCAAAGTTAATAATGCGATATTTTTCGATAATAAAATTTATCATTGTTGGCTTTTATGTTGATTAAAAGCGCAATCATTAATTTTTAATGAATTTGTAATGAATATTAATTTTTACGAGATGCAATTATACCTTTAATCACAATTAATGTAAACGTTCAAACGACCACAATTAATGTAAACGTTCAACGATTGTGATTATTTAGAAAATATCGCGAGATGGTATTTTATCACGATTGAACTCGCCAATTATTTCAAAATCGGAGCTTTAGAAAGCAACGCGATATAAAACACGTTAACTATTACGTGGATGGATTCGGTGCTTGTAGATATCTGATTGAATTTTCGAGCTTGTTGATCGAATGGATCTCGATAAGCGCTTTCTAGCTCGTCGGAAGAGGTACGATCCATTTTTCAAATGCGAACTTCCTATGTTCGAGCGCTCTCGTGGCGCTCTGATTTCGCCGGATGGCAAGCGTATACGAGCGCATGTCGCACGTGACAAATCTGGCTATTAACTTCCGTAGGTGGCGACGATTAATTGGCAGATTAATATCGGGGCCGATCGTTCTCGCGACGAAAATTACGTCACGGCAGGACATATTTCGCGAATCCCGGAGCTGCGAATCATGGAATCGATTAACTTTGCGAGAGCTTAACTAGACATTGTGTATGCGCCGTTACAGAAATAGAACAAATTTATTACATTTTAATTAGCTTCCTATTAATAATTCATGTAGCCCTCTTAAATTTGTTGGTCATATGTGTATTTTAATTGTGCATGTATCAGTGCAATGAATCAATAAGCTAAGCACGATTCATCATATTAAAAGCCTACGGTATGCAGTTGACATGACAATTTCAATTGTAAAAATATTTTTTAAATTGCTGTAAAGTCTAAATAAATTCAAACATTTATTGTTTTACGATGGAAATTCCTTTAGGGCCTACAAATTAATTAATTTTTAGTGCTTTTATATCTTTTTGCAATATTGCAATAAACAAGGGTAAGTTTTTAAGTGAATAGATTTTTCAAGCATTTGAAAAATCTATTTTAAATATCAATCTGAAAAAAAAATATATAACATATATATAACATATATATAAAATATAAAATACATATAAACATAAAACATATATAACATAAAACATATAAAATAATAAAAAAATATATAATAAAATAAATATAAAATAATCAATATACAAAAAAGAGAGAAACTAAAAATTTATTTTAATATAGATGTAAATACTCGCATTTTAGAGATGCACTTTTTCGTGCATATTTTGAAAATTAAAGAACAAAATATTTTAATAACACTTTATCAAACTTATTTTCTCGAAATAAAATAAATATCAATTAAATATTGACATTTAAATTTTAATAATTAAATATTGATGAAAAAAATGTCTCTCATAAATATGTAACATTAATGATGGCCGTTCATGTATATTAAAATCTTAATGATAATAATAAATTTTACAATATAATTATAATATTTATAAATTATAATTTCAATAATAATCGTTAGAAACATCGCTAATAAATGAACATGGCTTGAACACGACGTAGTCAGGACCTAAGTCAACGTTTTATATCGTTGCATATCGATAAATCCGCCACTAGTGGAGGGCAACAACGGGGTTGAGGATGTGGGAGAGAGGTTACGACGACCAACGAGGGGAAAGGTAGGTTGAGGTGATGGAGGACTAGGTACGAGGGAACATAGGCCGATCGACCTGGTTAACCTACATAGAACGAGAGACGGAAAGAGAGGAAGAAAGAATCCTCCTCTCTCTCTGTCTTCGTGCGCTCCTCGTTCCTGGCTGTTTGGCGTTTTCACGTCACGAGGAAAAAACTTTATCCGATTCTCCCTCGGCCTGTTTTCTCGGCAATCTTTATCTATCTCTCTCTATCGGCCAGGTGGAAAACTCGGCGCATGTTGGCGCCATCGACTTGGACGATCAAGTGCTTCCGCTACGCTGAGCCGAGGCGATCATCTATCCTCGGCAAGAGAAGTATGGTGCTCGAGCGAGATGATTGGCACCGAGAAAAAACGAAGACTTGTTGTAACACGATGTGTTGCGGGTCGGAGATTGAGATTGCGACAAGTTCGACGATCGTGACACGCTGGAAACACGCGAAAACGATCTCTTTATTCGCGTGACGCGACAACGTATAAGATTCGAATCTTTTTCAAAGAAAATTAACTAAATTTGAAAATTATTAATATCTACTTTAATCCTCTTCGTTTCGGATGCGTCGAGCCACATGTATGCAACGTGGATGATAACGCGAATCTAAAGCTACTGTGTCAACAAGCAGCGAATTAAATAAGCTTAACTTATAATTAGTAATTTACTGCACTTTATTCGATTATAGCGTTACCTTTAATGCGAAAAGAGAAAGAGAAAATTTACTTAGCCGAGTTTAATTTTGAGTGGCATTGATATAACCACCTTTAGAAGCCGTATCTGTGCACATTAGTTAAAGTTAAGTGAAGGGATTTAACGTAAGTAGAGTAAGTCAATAATTCGTAGGGCTCGCTCTTTATAGGTACCGAGTTCATATTGAATCACTTGCGATTTTGTATACTTATGATCCGTCCATTTTATCGAGCTCCTCAACTTTTTCATTTATCCCTTTTTCCTCCTTTCTCTCTCCTTTGACAGAACTTTAACTCCCGGTTAGCCATAACTTCATTTTACGTTAGTGCGTTAAAAGTTGCCTCGATAATGACTCATAATCGTTTTGCGCGTCAGACATTTGAACACTAACATTTATCGAATACGGTTATATAAAATAGCGTATTGGAAAAAAATCATCCTATTAATTGACCACGCGCGGCAACATGCGCGTTTCCGTGAGTCGGTGATTCGTTACCATCGAAACGGGTCGCGGCTTCGAAGCTTTTATACGCTTCGATTCTTCCTGCCCGATGGATGGACGATCGTTACAACGACCTACCCCATTCTCGCTCGTCTATCATCGCCCAAACGTAAATACAACTCCGACATTTCATCCGGTATAATAGCGTCAACCTTTCCTCGAGCGTATGCACGTTCGGCGCATTGTTTCACGCTTAAACAAATTAGATGTGTCTACAATTTCAGAAGCGATTTGTAAATTACAATGGAAATTTCGCAGAATTATTGCTTTCAATGCTTAATATAATATTATTATGTTTTATCTTCATTTTGCACAGTTTTATCTTGAAATTGCACAGTTAATATTTTTGCTAAAGTGGAATAGAGAGAAAAAGGGTGACATTTTGAAAGCGTTTCAAGTACTTTAAAGATAGATTCTGCGATTACACGAGTTACAAAGTATCGTGTCCTGAATCAATCTGATTGGTTGACCCATATCATGTATCAAGCGATGTATGAAATGTATTTTAAAAAACAGAATTTGTTTATTTGTCGAATAATTTACGATATATCATGGTGTGAAATCCGGAAATTTATTCAAAAATTTGCTTTTGCAGTGTTTGCAAATGTTTCCATATTTTTCAAATAATTGTAAATATCTAAATCAAAATTTCAAAATAATAGATTGAGATAAATACACATTATTTGCATAACCAGCGAGGACTACAATAAAATTAAAATAAATACATTTAAATTGTCTAATACACAGTAAAAAATTGTGCGTTCATTTATTAAAATTTTCTTGTGTTACCATGTTTTGATTAGTACTTTAATGTAAAATTAATATACAACCTATATGTTACTATTTTTATAACATTTTCATGTGTCACATTTATGTCAATTTTATAACTTAACATTTTGTATATGTCTCTTAGAAATGGAATATTATGTTGAGTATTTTTAACATAATCATTTTAAACAATCAATATCTCAACATCAACGTCTCAAAGTCAGTTTAACATTCTAAGAAAAGTTTAAGTGAATCTTCAAATAATTTTGAACTTTGATATGCACAAATAATCAAATTTACTAAAATCAAATGTTTCTATTACAAATAATTTAAATTAAAATAATTACTATTATATGTTAATGTCCTCAACATTTCTTATGGGTTATTGCAACTATTTCTTCATGTAATTTTTAATTAATTTGTATATTATTTTTACATTACACTTAAAGTCACAATAACAAAAATAAATGTAAAGCATTGTGTCAATTATTTAACATTCTTAGTTTGTCAATAAGTAACATACGACGAATGAGTTTTAATTTAAAATTTAGAGTGGACTTTCTGGAACATGTAAAAAATATTATAATTAACATTTTATTTTTTACTGTGTATCTGTGATAATTGCACGTATAATATAATTACAAGTCATTCTTGATTTCCACGAACTTTAAAAACTTTAAAAGCGATAGTGAGGTTTCACGAAGAAATCGTCAACACTTTCACTGTAAAAATATACACTCTAGTACAAACTTATAAGTTTCTTTTTAGCTCTTTCTTTTATATGAGAATTTATTATAAACCTATGATAAATATTATAAATCATGAGATTTATCGAGAATTTTTCATATTTTATTTATTTCTACATCTTGAATATCATTATAAGTTCATTTACCATTATCATTGAATATTTCTCTGTCATACACATTTATACTGGAATTTAATAATTCAAATATTTTGAATGCTCAAATATACGCGCGTTGCTAATTAATTCAAATTATAGGAGTTGCACTACTGCGGATGCAACGCATTTGTGGTCGAACACACATAACCGCACCGCAACACAAGAATGAAAATATAAGAGATAGGTATCTCTCATATTAGAGAGTAATATCTATTAGAGAGTCAAAAGCGCATGAGAAAGAAATGTATATAATAGAGCGAGAAAGGATTGCGAGAGAGATATTTATCGCACAGAGGCGGCAGGAATATTATTATGCGCTGCGAAGCGAGTCCTTTTCGAGCGTCAAACAGAAATGCATTGCATATAAATTGGACGTCAAATGCGTTTGCACTAAAGCAAGTACAATTGAGAAGGCAAATAGGAAATCGAAATAGAGAGATAGAGATAGAGAAAGAAGAAAAGAGAGAGAGAGAGAGAGAGAGAGAGAGAAGAACTGAAAAGCTGAGAGTCAAATCGATTAATCGAATTAATCAAATAGATCGTTTCAAAAATACGCTAAATTGAAACTCATGCATTTTGATTTTGTATGCATTTCATCTCTTTTCATTATGTATGTCTTTAATGCCATATTAAAATAGATTAAAATGGAAATGATAATATGATTGAAAATGATAGATTGATCGATCCAAATTAACTTTTCTATTGCGTTCAAATATTTCTGTTTAGATATTTCCAACGCTTATTGGAGCACATCGTGTACATAATTTTTGAATAAACATTGTGAGACATTTATTGCAATTTTTTTTTAAATAAAAGTTTCTTCGTCCAATATTTATTTGTAATAGATGTTTAATTAAGATAATTAAATATCTATCTCAATTGTTTAAATAAAAAAGATTCAAAGGATTTAAAAATTAAATTGATTAATTAGGTATTCACACCATCAAAGAAATATATAAACACACATACATTAAACAGCATAAAATTTTTATCGATATTCTTTTAAAATAAATGAGAAAACAGTTGATAAAAATAATTATAACACCGCAACATTTTCCAATCCATGACTAATTCTCTTATGATTGTTTAACAATTTCATTACAACTCAAATAGGTCTCTCTATAGTTTCATTATTAAAAATATATCGTCAAAAATATCTTCGTGTCACATTTATTTCAGTGCGAAAATGAAAATAACTTTTAATCTGGCACGTCTTTGAAACGATTGATTCGCGGTGACGAGATGTACGATTTAGTTTTCGCATTTCCGCCTGCGAAACGCAATCTAAAGTGAACGAGAATTGCGTTATACAAACAATTCGCGCTCGTCTAGGTGCGCATCCAAGTTCGCAAAGTCATTCGCGACTCTCGGGAAAAGATTGTCGGAGCAGCAAACCCCTCTGGGTACGTCGAACAATACGTCTATCCTCGCCTCGAACTCGGAAGAAATTGTCTATATCCGAGTCCGAGTTCCGATTTCGGAGAAAGGGGAAGAAGCGATCGCGGCGAAGCTAAAACTCGGCTTCGTCGAGAGTCTCTCTCTCTCGAGGCACGTTTCGCATCGTCCCGACCTACATTCGATCGGCCGCCGCGTTCAACAACAAGCTGCTCTCACGCGGTTAGTAACCGGGAATTGAAGCCAATGTAACCGCGGTGAGATCAACTTTCGAGGCTTTGGACTTTAGCTTTGGAAATCCGATTGTCGTGAATAAGCATTAAAATTGCTTCAGGCTTTTAGCTTCACCAAGAGCTGTCCGAGATAATAGAGCCAAGAAATCTATTAAATTTATTTTACTATATTTCTGACATAATTTTATTTTAGTTAGTCATCGAAAGGAATTATTGATGAATATATAATAAATAATTATATTTATATTACTGACAATATATCACGCATGTAAGATTTTTTCAAGAATTTTTAAAAGAAGACGTGGTGCCTGAAGCTTCGATCTCTCTTATGTGTCCTACCTTTTCTACCGGTTTCAACGCTGTTGCTATCAAACGCGTCGGTCCGTCAGAACGAGCGAGAAACGTCATTCGCAGCGTGACTGCGATGCACCCCTCGACAGGAACGGTGCACCGACCGGTTCGCGAGGCGGTCACGAGGGGCGAGAAAGTCCGCGAGGAAAGCGCGCTGACCCGTTCGCCCCTCGAGAGAGAGAGATAGAGAGAGAGAGGGACGCTTGGAAAAACAACAATCCTCACCCTTATCGCATCGTCGGTGCGCACCTGCGTTTCCCCCGTCGAGGGCCTACGATACCGAGGGATCTAGAGTTTGACAGATGCCGAGGGACACAGCTGATCGCGGCCGCGTATCTCGGAGCCGCGGGGGAGAAGCGACTGACGCGACGAACCGTGCTCTTGGTCGGTCCACGAGTGACAACGAGCATTCACACATGCACCCACGCACGCATACATACGTATCGTATACACGTGTTACACGCGCATGCACATGCACGAGGCGTATCGGCCGCTCGGGGACGTAAACACGCGAAGCGATCCCGCGACGCGGTCTCGCACGCAAATACCTAAGGCTTTCCCGAATACGGGCTTGAGAGAATGAGAGGAGGAGAAGAGCACAGAAATAGAGAGAGAAGGAGAGAGACAGAGAGCACCACCCGCTCTCGCGCCCCACGTATGACTGTCGCATCGCGGTACAACAGCAGCAACGGGGTAACGATGCGCAGGAGCGCGCGAACGCCTGCGCTTCACCTTCTCCACCACCTTCCGCTCCTCCTTCTCGTCTTCCTCCTCGCGGGTTAAAGTTAAATCCCGTTGTTGTTACTGCCTCCACCTGTCTCTCTCCCTCCCTCTCTCTTTCTTTCTCTTCCCATCGGTCGATTCGCCGTTTCGATTTTGCGTCCTCCCGATATCTCGTGGAGATGAGGGTGATCGCGATACGCAATCGAGGAATAAGGGTGAGGGGATGAAAATGAGACGGAGATCGACTTCGGCGTCCCACATTAAATCTTTTTAATCAAGAGTAGAGAGACAGTCGAGTTGACTTGGACGTTTCATTTTGAACTTTAAAAAAGGGAAGATGTGATGGGACGATCGTATTTTGATATTTTATATACATATGACTTTTATACGCTCGCGACTTTGGGGTTGAAGGAAACTCTGCTGGATAAAAGTAACGCGACGTAAAAATAACTAGGGATTTAACCTTTAGGCGTATTATCAATTTTAATTATAAAAAGTCTTATTTATTCATGTACGCAATATTGTATCTGAAGGAGCGATGTTGCGAGAATCTCTAGACATTGATCGGAATTTATTATCTCAAGAGTTATGTCTGAAACTCTTGAAAATTCATTTTTCGAATTTCAAACGCAAAATATTTTCAAGTCACATAGTTTTTTAATTCTCGATCAGATCGTGTTTTCAATCATAATAATTATCTTCTCGAGATATTCTTGCCCAAACTCACGTTAAAATTTGTGGAATTATGACTAAGCGAGTTGGAAATTTCATTTCTGTACTAAAGTATGTTAAAACGAATATTCCGAGGATTTTTGATGAAAAAAGAAATTTAAAGGAAAAGAGTACTATCAGAAATCCCTAAATATATGTGGAGGAACTATAATTTGTTGTCAAAATTATAATCAATCTCAATATATATAAAAATTAAAAATTATAATATTTATTTATTTAAATTTAATAATAATTAAATTTAAATAAATAAATTTTAATAAATAAATTTATTAATAATTAAATTTTGAAACTCTTTATTTACAACATTAAAATCTATTAGAAATTTTGGTATCTATAGAAAAGAATGAAATTTAATTAATCTCTTCAGAAATATGGTCTTAATATGTAAAGTTAATATTCTGTCTTTTAAATGTCAATATTGAAACTTTTTCCATCAATACTATAGAATTTCTGATCATTACGCAAAGAAACTGAAGTTTTAATTAGAACTACATCTATTATCGAATTTTAAATTTATCACACACATGCCAATTTTATTACTGAGAAAATAATCTCAAAAAAAGAGATTAAAGATACCTTCTTTTCAATAAAAGATATTTCTTTTTATATACTAAATGACAGAGTAATAAAAATTAAAGTAGATATATCGATTTGCTATTAAACCTAAATCGCATTAATATATTATCTAATAGTATGCTCTTGAACAAAATTGTATAGATAATTTAATAGACAAGTAAAGATAAGTCAAACATAATGATATCGTAATTTAAAAAGAGTCTATCTCGCCAAAAAATCATTTTCTCAAGAAACATATTCCAGTAGAAATAAAATTTGAACACAATTGTTATCAGAATAAAATTTCTTTTTAATATAATAAATATTCCTTAGTATAACATTTTTCTTCCCCAAGCAATAAGTTTTGGGAAAAAGCTCGTAAACACAGCACACTTAAGTGTGGGATGTAAATGTAAACTATCCGTATAATTCCCCATTATCATTTATCGACAACAAAGTGTATTTGGGGTAAGATGGCTGATCGAAGTTTTAAGCTTCATCTTTAATCAAATTTAGCGTGGAACATGGTAACAAAGTGCGTATTTTTTATTAGGCATAAACTTAACTAAATTAGCATAAACTTAACTAAATATTTTCAACTATTATTTTTTTAATTATTACAATTATGAAAATTGTATTAAAATTATTTTTTTATTTATTAATTATTTAAAATATTTAAGTATTTAAATTAAATAGTCATGTTTGATTTAATATGTCGTATTTAATTTAAATACTTAAATATTTCAAGTGGAAAAATAATTTGAAAATATTAAGCCACAAGTTTACAATTTTTTTCAGTGTAAATGCGTGCGTGCATGTAAGAGGAAAAGATTCAACATCACGAAAGAAATAACAGTGGACATTTTACGTGTATGTTTAGACTGATTGTGGATCAACGATAAATTGCCGTAAAATTACACAGAGAGAAACCAGTGCAAAGTGACGTTAATTCTGAAAAATTTGCAAATACTTAACAATATATATTTATGAATTAATACCACGAACAAAAAATGGAAGATATGTTGCATCACACATTTTTTCACAATTATTACGTATTCTCTTTGAAGTATAAAGGTTTTGCGAGTTAGCTATAAGGGAGACGAAATGTTTCTTTTGCATTTCATGAAAGTCTTTGCGAAAGCTATCCAAATATCTATAAGCGCGTAATATTTTCTCCCTTCGATATTTTCTACTACCTGTATATCGTACAAGATGACATTTACAGTGCCGGTTTTCTTTACAGCTGCATGCGACGCGTACGAATCACAAAACAACTGCATAAATGACATAATTTATTCGCAAAAAAATGGGTCTTATTATCATAAAAATATTCTATTTATTTTAAATTATTATCTTGCGAATTAAGTCGTTATAGCTATAAAACATATATTTCTTTCTGTAAATATAACGACTAATCTCGAGTATAGATTATCAAGTATAATTTATGTTACCTATTGTAAGAATTCTAAATAAAATAATTAGTAACGACGCTTAATATCGTCATTTGCAATTTTTTTTGTATTTTTTTCATTTATCACCGATGACATTGCTTTATCCCAACATGTAATGTGTAACGTCCCGAGTATTAGACACCATTATATCCCTCGGAGGGATTCTTAACATCGACCGCGTATAATTACCGCCGGATCGATAGACCGCCGATATTCCTCCTTTCGCGCACGCGACCTCTTATTTTTCTTCCGTGCCGGTCAAGCTTTATACACGCGTTACACGTATGGTACGCAAAATACGATCGACTGGTTAATTAAGCGGTTGAGAAGCCGGACGGCATCGCGGCTCTTCTTTCAACGAGAATATATAAGCTTAATATACATCCCCGATAGAAACGCACGGAAAGCCCTCTTACAAGCCACCTTACACGTTCCCCGGCACGGATCGTCTCTCTCGATACTCGGTATGCTTACAAGAGAATTTTCCCAACGAAATATCCAATTACCTTGGATTAAACTCTTCGAGGTACAACGATCGCCGGCTGAGTTATCCCTGGATTGCGCTTCTCGTAATGAATTATTTCATCCCCCGTTACACTTCCGACTTGTCGATGGAAGAGCGAGGGCGAATCGACTTTGGAAGTACTCGCGTTTGTACAGACTGCAATCGATAAGAGTAATTCGAAATTTTCGCGAAACCGATTAATATCCTCGGAATATATATGGATTTAATAATAGAATAGATTAAACGGATCAGCCTGCGTAGTTTCTAAAGTTTAACAGATGATCGATGTTCAGCATTGCTAGCCAGAACAGAACAAAATATAAATTATTAAGTAATTTAACACAGTTCTTTTTTAAGACATTCGAGATTAAAAAACAGACAGAAGAATAAATAAATAAAATAAATAAAATAAATAAAATAAAATATTATATAATAAAATAATAAAGTAAGTAAAATAAATAAAATAAATATATATAAAAATATAATCTAAAATATAAAAATATAATATAAAATAAAAATATAATATGAAATATAATAATAAAATAAATAGAATAAAATAAAATAAATAAAAAAAAGACGAGTGAAGAAAAAAAACAATTTTCTAACGAGCAAATATTAACAAACCATTATTTCAAGGATGTTATTGTTCGTTAGAGGAGCATAGTACATACATCATAATCGATCATCCTAGAGTATTAGCGTTAAGAATACGACGAAGGGAAGAAAATCCGAAGCTGTTTTGTTGCATCATTAAGAAATTAATAGCACTGTGGGTTCACATGAGTTTGCTGCTTGAAGGTTAATTGACTTTGTTGCTCGAGCGACGATTTAATGGCCTGCGATCGTCTCGTCTTCCAATCTCGATCGGCTCGTAACAGAAGTTTCGCTACGTTAGCAGCAAATTATTGAGCTTCGCCGACAAACACTCGCGACGTTTGCGCAGATGCGCGATGTCTTACCGAGAGGGCTTGTGCCGTTCACCCCGTGACGGTTCTGCCCTACATCGGCCGCTGTTTTGATCCGTCGACGAATCGGTGCGTCAAAAAATACGCGTCAACTCGCGAAATGCATGCGTACGACCCACATTTAAGCCTCGGACAAAAAACCCGTGAGATTGGAAAAATTTTTATACTCGTGTGTTTTTAGAAAAGCGTCGGATTTCCTGCTTCACCCTCTTGTCGTTCTTGATAAAATATGATATATATTTTTATTTTTATTAATTTATCAATAAATATAAAAACAATTATATATACGATAATATTTTTTATCGCGTATTTGAAAGGATCACAAGTTATTGAAGAATTAAAAAATGAATATTTTTCAATTCTTTTAAGAAGTAGCTTTGCGATTCCGAGCAATTTGTATTATCGCGTGTCCAGCTCAATAATAAAATCAGCCTCACTCTGAAAAATTAGCAGAGCCCTATCAAGTATTATTCCCGCGAGTACATCTATACTCTGTTCTAATGAAAAAGAAATTGATGCCGTAATTAAAATGAAAAGAATATATGACTCACGATTCTACCAATCAAACAACTTGTCAAAAAAAGTATTTACTCTCGAGTTTCCTCAACATTAAATAATTTGAGGTGTATTACAGTTTTTTTATTTATTTCTAAAAATACAAAATCATTCATATCAATAAAAAATATTTCATATTATTATATAATTTATGTTAATACATAGATTTTTTATTGTATGTGAAAAACGATAAAAGGGTAGCCGAATGAGGAATATTGCGATTTTTTTTTACGAACATAAAGTTATATTGTCAATATAATATTGTCGCTCTCAATATCACATACTATGTCAATATGAATCATAAATGAATCGTTGAAAAAGGCATGAGCCAGGAGATATTTACTTTTCAATCAATAAGAACTGTTTGCAGTTCCTATAATATAATTTTTCTAAATTAAAAGGTTTTTCCAAAGCCTCTTGTACAGCATGTATTTTTTAAATAATTTTACAATATTATCTCTTTAGTCTTAAATCTATGAAAATTAATTCGCGTCTTTTTCGAAGCCATCAATTCAATTATTTCTACGAGAAATTCAATTCATCACGCGAATGCAATTGACCATTAATGAAACTTTAAAGACGAGATGCTTTAAATATGACATACGTATCTTCGACCACTTGTTTCTTGAGGGAATTACGCGTTTACCCTGCCACAAAGTAGATAACTTTGTGAGCCTGCACTCTTTTCTTTTAATTGCATCCTGCATCGACGTAATGCAACTCACCTACTGGGTCACTCGGAGCGACTGCTAATCGAACTATGTTATTCAATTTGTTATCCTGTTGCCCAGGACGTAAAGTGAATTAAAAAGAAAAACAAAAAGGTGCTGCGTCATGAAATCACATTTACCATGAAATACTCCCGGGTGCTACGAAACTGATAATGACACATGGCATAATTTCGCAGCACAATTGCCATGTAAATGTTTCGTACTACGTATGTATAAATATTATAATCGCTAACGTATCATCCGAATGTTATTTCAAGTGCTTCCGTTGCAAAACCGGCTATTTTAATTGCACTAATTGCAATGGTAGGAAAGTGCTGATGGCTGGGTATCTTTGATTTACGATAAGCATGTCACTCGATTGCTCGAAACAAGTAATGCGTCATGCTATTCGAGTAATTACAGGCCTGTTGCTCTGACAGCTTAGCTTAATTAACCGTAACAATTCCTTTTCCAACGCAAACTGCAGTACACTTTGTTATCCAAATAATACACAAAGCATTGTATCTTCGTCCTTTATGAATTTAATTTATAATCTTAGCGATAATTAAAAAAATATATATCATATATATAATATTCTCATTATACGAAAGTTTTTTATTTTAAAATCATATCGATCTTATTTTTTATTTTATTTTAAAATTAAAAAATTTAAATTTTACTTTAAAATTTCACCGAGATATTGGACATCGAAAGCTGAATAATTCTGCTAATCTCCACAATTTACCACACAATAAGAATTAATTAATTAATCAAAATGATTCCGAAATAAATAAAAAAAAAAGAAAAAGAAGAAGAAAACGTGCAATCGAGGATGCAAGGGCGATCTCGACGCTTTTGGGACGTTCTTGAGGATGCGACTTACAAGTCAGCACGAACGAATGAATGAGCGCTCGTCCATTGTCATTTCAGGCGATGACCGCGATCCCTCCTCGACCTCGTCGCACGTCTTACGTTGCATTAAAGCGCATCGCACATCCGGCCGGCCCCAAACGCGCGAGGGTTGATTGACCGCCGGTGGCACAGAGAGCACGGTGCACTATCGATTATACGTCTGGCAGCAGCACGTGGTGCCTGCCTTCGACTAGGCCAGTGTGCGCGCGGCCCTACGCCCTATCACGGAGGGTGGAAGGGCGAGGGTGGGCGAGGAGCACCAGCCGTTCACTCGGCGCATGTTATCGGCGCTTTAAGTGGCCCGATAAGGATCCGGTCGCTGCGAGATTCGAGCGACGTGGATATCCGGTATCTTGCCGAGACGCGAGAGTACGTCCTGCAGAAATATTTCCGCCATATATCCCGCTCGTGTTGGTATTATTAATCTTCGAAAACAATTAAACTTGTGACAATTGCAACGCAATAAACTGATACATGTATTTGTTTAAATCATCGGAATTTCTCGCTATTATGCATGTATATATTTTATATATATGTATATATATATTTATTAAAAGACACGCGAAACAAATTGATATTGGTAAAATTATTATTGGACAAATTGATATTGGTAAAATTATTATTGGACGCGACGAATTTTCACGCAGCACGTCCACTATCACTATTCTAATGATACAAGGATAATACTGATATTACCTTTCGTATTTAACTATCGATGTAGTGCTACTCTATCTCTGAGATTGAACTGACGAAATCGTAAAGAAGATCAAAGGAATGCGTCTGCGCGAGTTTCCGACTGCGATTAAACTCTTTAAAGTGTTTCATTCTGAGTGATTTTTTATCCAGAAATTATATATTTTTTGTTCACATCGGATATATGTGTTTTGGAGTAAATTGTTTAAGATATTATTGTCCCAGCTCATAATTATATAATCTTATTGTTAGTGATGATTAAATAATATAGAAATTTTTCATGGAAGATTACGGCTTTGATATAAATACATGATTAACAAACTTAAAATTAATGTATTTTTAAATAATTATTAAAACAGTGAAATATACGTTTCACTAAATTAAATTAATAATTATTAATTATTAAAATACTGAAATGAAATTTTTCTCTCAACACAAATTGCAAACTAGTTAATTATGATGATTAACAAACTTAAAATTAATGTCGAGATTGATTAATGATTGAGATTCTTGATTCTTTTTATTTTATGTATTATTACTCTTATAATAATAGATATTGAAAAAAGAAGATAATATAATCAATGGAAAAAAAAGATAGTTAATACACAGATGGTAAAATACAACAATTATAATAAACACAACAAAATTAAAATTAATTATTAAAAGAGTAAAATATTCGTTTCACTAAATTAAATTAAAAATTATTAATTATTAAAATACTGAAGTGACTTTTTCTCTCAACACAAACTGCAAACTAATTAATCATGATGATTAACGAACTTAAAATTAACGTCGAGATTAATTTATGATTGAGATTCTTGATTTCTTTTATATATTATTACTCTTACAATAATAGATACTGGAAAAACATAATAATATAATAAAAAAAAGAGTTAATACAGATGATAAGATAATAATAAACACAGCAAAATTAAAATTAATTTAAAATAGTGAAATAAGATAGTGAAATATTTGTTAATAATTATTAATTATTAAAATAATGAAACGAATTTTTTTCCCTTGCAAATTAGTTAATTATGAAAACGTTTCTCTGTTTAATGCAACTTATCTAAAAGAAAGTTTAATTTAACGGGGTTAGCCGACATTATTATAGCTGTTAAACCGGCGGATTTTAAATCATCCGGAATCTTGCATGCGCGAAGAAAATGAATTCGCTGCAGTCACGCGAATCGTCGTTACGTGCCGAGATTGAGCGAATGAATTACTATTTCTTTCGCGGAATAAATCAAGCTGTGAAAAAATTAGCCCCCCATTAGAATGCGCATGATATAAATATATTTCTTTTTATATACACCCGGCTGTTACAATTCTATTTGTGTTTCGCGTCCTTCTACCCCTAATTTTGCTTCGCGATTGTTTTTCATTTCTCACATCTATTCCTTGAAAATTGCTTACGTCATAGATATACAATTGCATGCAAATAATGTTTATTTTTTTAAGTAATCGATATAAGCCAATATTAATATTTTTAATTAATCCGTTCAATTGCATCAAATGTCATAAACAATCCAACAATTTTATATTAACATTAATATTTTTTAATCTCGAATTTCATTTAAATCACTTAATTTCGCTTTTCTTTTTTCTATCTTTCGATACAATTATCTTATTCGAAATTGAAATATTAAAAAGATCTACTTAGAGACATGCAAATCTGCTCTCACTCCTGCTCGTTCCCGAGCCTCTATTCTCAATAACAGCGCTCTCGATAATCTAGAGTCTCGAGAATCCAGTCTCGCTGTCGGGAATGAGCGGTAGTGAGAGCAGATTTGCCTCTAGATCTACTGCAGAGACTCAGCCAGGCAACACCGACCTCTGATTGTTTCGTATCAATCATTTCTTTAAGTGATCGATATAAGTTAGTATTAATCCTTTTAATTAATCCGTTCAAATTGGATCAAATGTCATAAAAAATCCAACAATCTTATATTAACAATATTTTTAATATTTTTTACTGCAAAGACTCAGCCAGACAACACCGATCTCTGATTGTTTCGCATCAATCATAATAAACCTGTAATTCAACGGAAAGTAGTCCGACAATAATAATTATGGCATAAACGCTATCGATTGCAAGCAACAGAAATGGAGGAAGCGACTGGAGACTTCATCGATACACAGAGAGAGAGAGAGTGTTAGCAGTAATCTTTTTTATTTATTAAGAAAAAGTCTCCCTGTTTATATTAGCGTCGTTGAATAAGTACCGTGTCAGAGTTTCGCGCGAGGATAAACATATACATATATACTCGGCGTAGTTTGTTCTCGCATAATTCCCGCACGCGTGTAGCAAAATAAATCGGATCTTCTTCTTTTTTTTTCTCCCGTACGAAATTGTCGTTGCGGCGAATCGCCTTCTGGACGAGTCCGTTTATCCAAGGCGCTTTACAAGTATGCCGTAAATATATCGTACAATTAAATACATCGAGGATAAATAGGTCGTCGTCCCGTAACCGCAAGGTTTTTTTTTTTCCAAAGAGGCTTACATTCCAACAGCGGATGGGGGGGATAAATGTGTGACTAATGCTCGCAATTATATTAGAATGGCAAGAAAAGCCGCATTTTCAAAACCGCCTTACACGCTAATATTTATAATTACATAATTCATCACAGCAATAAACAAAATATACCTGTGCGCATGTGGATGTACAAAACTCGTGGATTATCATTTTTCTTTCTTACTTTTTCTCGCGTCTCTTTCTCCCTCGGTTTCTCGCAACCTTCAATTACTCACTTCCACACCTTATAAATTAGAGCTTACTTTAGAAGTATTAAAGTTACATCGTGTAATATCTGTTTCCGGAATTCAATACAGCCGTACCGACTATACGGGGGGATCGTACGTTCACGCTGTGTAGGGAGGTGTGATAATTGAATATCGTTGATATACGCACGCACGCAGTGTGTATCAGTCCTGTCGAATTTTGTGAAAAGGAAATCGTACCAGTGTGTGAAAGTAACCGACCGTTCGTACTTTTGTGATTCGCATAAGGCATTAGAAATTGTATATTTAAGGCATATCGGTTGTCGTTTCTGCTTCGCATTTTCAAACGCGCATAAAGTAACAAGGCCTGCACTGTGTCACTATTATTAGATATCTCGTGTCTCTCAAAATAGTATATATAGATATATATATGTATATGTATAAAACAATAGTCATACAAAAAATATAATAAAATATTAATATAATATATATAATATATATATGCTGAGAAAATATTAATAACTAATAAAAAATGTTTGCGACGGTAATCAACTAGGCGTCTACGGTCGAGAATCGTTTTCGAATCTGCTTTCAGAGATGAGTTGCTAACGATATAAATACAGTAATTACAAAACTTATATAAAGTATCTATTCGTATGACTACATTTTTTTCGCTTAATCGTGTCGAGTTTCGTGTGTGTGGAGGGGACATTAGGACATCGCGACAAGTCCATCCTATCTGTATAAAAATAAGAATCTGTCTTCGTTATTCAAGTGCTCAAATATTTAATATAATTCGAATCCATACACTTTCGCTTACTTCAACAAATCTCCTGAATTCCGGAACAGTCCATTATTTAGAAAATATACGATATATACAATAAAAATGTATTTTTAGAGTTCAGTTTCGTTTCTCAGTTTGGCTGTCACATTTACGCCTATATGTGATGGATGTCACAGAGTTAATGGATGGCGAAATTCACACTAGAATGTATCCGCATATTCAAGTTTTTCTGCGTACTTTTTTTTCTATCGCTTCTTTACTTCCTCTAGAGTTAGTACATGTAGTTTGATACATGCAAATATATATCTGTGTGTACATATATACGCGTATGATCAATAAAACCTTATATATGTACAATTGGCAGTGTATGTGTACGTGTATGTAAGAGTACAATTGGCAGTGTATGTAAGAGTGTCATTTGATAAAAATAGAAAACTATTGAGCTTCGCGTGATGGACCGTATTCTTGGCTTCCCTCCCTCGTTCATAATATCACATAGATTATGTTATTATTTTTGCTTAATACTTAAATCAATGTAAGTTTCAAGATATCGTGCAGTTAACACTATACCAATTAGTATTTTTAAGTTTTATTGCTCTAGCCGCATTATTTCTTCGACTAATGTTGATAAAAAAACGTATGATTTATTATTGATACCGTCACACTACCGCTAAAATAAAAAGATGTTCCAAAATAAACCAGTTTTCAAAATCAAAAAATAATAATGAGTCTTGCATCATCCATGCAAAATGAAATACATTATAAGATAATCACAATAATAAAGAGAATCACAATATACGATATAGATATTAATTAGATTATATGTATATCGTTACTTGTAATTGTACACTATCTTAATTTTCGAAAATGCAAAAAAAGTATACAAACGACCCATTGATATTTATACAGGACGTGTAAAGGCCCGTCTACAATGGCAGTAGCATAAGGTTGTAAGGTTGTAAGCGAAATGAATCAAATCATTTCTTACGACTACTATGTATGTTCTACGACGGACGCGCAATCAGAATTAAGAACGCAGAATTTTTCCGTGATTGAGTATGCGCGACTGCCATAGAAACGCATGAAATCCGTAGGAAATGGATTTGGTTCATTTCGCTTACAACTGCTACGACCTACTGATACTGCCATTGTAGACGGGCCTTAACGTTTGCAAGAGATTACAAATGTTAAACTGTCAAGAAAATATATCACCCGGTATTCGAAAGGAAATATTTCATTGTGATATATGAATCTAGTGGCGCGGATCGAAACTTGCCGATATTCGAACACAATGAAAATTGGAGATGCCATACATTTGAATTTGAATGATACATATTGTGTACGATGACGTCGATGATAAATAGGAGATAATGATATTCGCGATTGATTTATTCCGACATCCACTAACTCTGTGCCAGAAATGCAAAAGCATTATGTATATTCGCACGCAACGAGTACGTGTTTTAATGCATCCGCAAATGTACCACACTCGGCTATATATATGTTAGGCCTGTTGAAAGTCTTCGACGATGCACAGCATCGTTCAATAAGTTTATGAATGCGACAAGGACAATGTGTGATTTTTTTACTTTCAACTCTTCAAAGACTGTGCTTTAAAACTATTAATTTCAGAATTACAAGATGATAATCTTCGGAGAAAAATGTTCAAGAAGAACGTACCTCTTTTTTTCTATACTATCCAAGTTTAAAAGATTGATATTTTTTGACAAAATTGTCTTGATAGAATTAGAAGTTTGAATTTTATTTATTTAGTTCCATCTTTGATAAATTGCATATTGATGCGTGATCGATTTTTATGAAAACGAACAAAATAATTTTTCTTTTTGTAAAAATGGATAAAATAATTTTTTTCTAAAAAAAAAAAAAAATTACTTTGTGTTAATACTTTTTCCTATTTTTTGAATTATTCCGATTCACGAACTTATGAACGATAATGTAACACGAGCGTCACACGTACGCGGATCTTCGATTGCGAGGCTGATCTCGAGAATGTCCTTGAAAATGCACGCACTTTCAATAACAATATGCAATATCATGAGCGGTATACTTGTCATACTCTTTTAAAAACAGTCTTTATACAATATTTCAATTATATTATGTACAGTTGTTGTATATACTAGCTAAGAGATAAAACCTATGTCCCTTGTTTTATATTAAATACGAGTTCAATCCGTTAAATTGTTAATTACATAGCATATCCAAATTTTCACTCGAAAATAACTCAATTGAAATATCTCGATTACTTATATCCTGGTCGTATTTACAGTAGCGCCGTACTTAAGAATATACATGTGAGTCTTCGGGTATAGATATTCAAAAGTGGTCGTGATTCGAGGCTGTCGCGTAAATTATACACTTTCGTAATCTCAAAAGTCAGAGCTTATAATAGTTCATCCCATGCATATGTACGACATAAATTTGTTTGAAGTATAAAGTACCATTTCGTATTTTACATTTTAAAACAAATACTGTATTCTAAAGCAATGTTTAGAATAGTTCGCGATAAATTACGATAGGCGATGTTATAAAAAATAATTGTGTATAAAATTCGCGAACATATATAAATAGTCTCGAGGAACACGTCGTGATTACTAATTTACGTAATTAGGCTGCTGTCTCAAAACAAAATGAAAATTAATACGACAATAATAATTATTAGCTGCACGCTTCCCACATCGTTCTTACGTACTGACAGCTCATCGATCGTTCAATAGCTAAAACTATATGTAAGCTATATACACTTCCAGAAACACGCAATACCTGAGAAGTCGTGCTGGAAATTATAGTACCTCAAGTTCTTACATAATAGCTGCAGATCATCTCCAGAGTAATACGCATAGCGTATTAATAGCGACGTAAGCTGCTATGCTTAAGGTAAACAAAGGCTGGGACAACGATGGAGCAAACGCTGCGCTAGAAGCTGCCTTTGTTAAATCTTCACACACCCCTGTAACATAATATAAACATTGAATATTTATACACCTTACCTAGGTTGTTTGTGAGTGTTTAAAGCCAACGTAATATATCTTAACTATGACAAAGTACAGTAATTATTTCACCATTTTTCAATATTATGATTATAACAGAACTGAATAAGATATATATTATGTATTTATTTTTTATTGCAGTTTTTTAAATATTTGCGATATTAAAAATATTATTTTCTAAAAATATTATTTTTTTACAATGTTATTTTCATTCAATCGAATATAATTTGTTACAAATAAATTTTGCATACAATTTTAATTAAAATAATTCATGATCAAGTAACCTTTAAAATTATTATTTTTTTAGTTATAACAATTATGTGAAAATATTTTTATAATTACCTTGATTTGACAGTCTATACATATATTCGTCCTCAGAGTTTCTCTGACAAATTCGTGATGGCACAGACAGCCATAATTCTTGTTCTTGTTGCTTCTGCCTGCCGCCTCTTCCCAAAACTCTGTCTCGAACTCCTTCAAGGCGCATAGAAAAACAAAATGTTTGTCCTAGGCTGGCTGGGAATTCAGAATTCCGTTGCGAAGCTATCGTGTACCATGTTCCTTTCTCTTCCCAACTACCGTGACAAAAATAGGCTGCCAAAATGTATCAAATCTTTAGATTTCTTGCTTTTCTTTATGTGCATAGATACATCTCTTATAGATTATAAAAACCAATCGTATAAATTTATTCATATTTACCAATCTCTTCGTGTTCACACGTATTGGCGATTATCATTTCAGTTTGATCAGACGAAGTGCAGCCTATTTGAATGTTCGTACTCTTGCACTCCGCGTCCTCGGTGTTATCCTGCCAAGTTCGCCTCTTGATAGTCCTTGATAAGTCGCTACGCCGTTGTCGCCTTGACATGACAGCTTCTGACAACGTATGCGACGGAGCAAACTCCAGGATCTCGTATCGTCCTAGATTAGGACATTTTCTCTGATGCAAGGACGTACCTGTAAAATGAAAACAGAGATGTAATTTGCATATGCATTTTACTGTTCGCCCACTAACCCGTGAACCCATAACAACATGGAATGCATGGTACGCAATCCTATCAATATTCATGAACGACGATGTAATATGGATTAGCACTTACTTATTAAGGTCATATGCGGCATCGTGGAAGGATCGGAGATGGAGCACGCCTCGTCTGGCATAATTGCTTTTTGATCTGCAATAAAAAAATAGAAAAATGAAATATATCACTCGGTCGATTTTTGATTCAATGCTGCATATCCAAAGTATATTCACCTGATTGTTGTATCTCGATAATATTACTGTCTCTTTTATGGAATATCATGCAAACATAACCAATATCGCTGAAATCATAAGAATAGATTCAATTGACGAAACTGATGTAATATGTATTACAAACCGCAAGAGAGTTGAGAAATTATTTACCAGCCGCTGGTGACATGAGCGACCAGTTTCACTTTACTCCCCTGCATATTTTCGTTCGGATACTTTTCTACATTATGACAAACGATTTTTTCCTCGTGGAATGTCTCGCTATTGATATCCTGCGCTTGTGCCTTTATTTTCAGAGTAGCATTCTTGTTCGTAAAGTGATAATTCTTTGTACCGTCGAGAGAGTGCCAATCATGGTGCTGAGTTACCCAAGATGGATATTTACATCTACCATGTTCTTTATCGACTGTTAACAAAGAGATACGAAAGATTAAATAAAACCTTTTATTGATTTTAAAAGAGATACTTTCATTCCACACAATTACCTTTAGTAAGCTTTATGGTGGGTGAACCTTCAGAAACCGTGGTTAAACCATTGCAAGTCGGATCGCCAGACTGAGCAAGTAAATAAATCATCTTTCCCTGATGATGAGGCTTTTCTTCATACAAAAAGCACCTATGAATTTTTCAAAATGTTATTTGACGATTTCTCAAATTCAGAAGCTATTTTATTCTTCTTTTTACTAGTTATCGCACTTTTATGAGCATATATATTTATATATACGCTTCATGAAAATAATAAAAAGTATAAGAATGACAATAATAGCTACGTGAAAGATGACAAATGAGCGGTTAATCATCTTTTCACCTTGTCTCAATACCAGTTATAATCTCCTAATATCATAAACATCATTACTAAAATGTGACATGCTAAAACCGCTGTACACAAAACATCTGCCGTACAGGTGCAACAGATGTAAATAAGCAACTTGAGGCACGCAGTATGCTATGACAAAATCGCAACAGCAGCCGCTGCTGTCACGGACTTGAAAACATTACATTACATGAAATTAAAATAACATGTTTCACCTGTATGGATCGCTCTGAACGTTCCTCCCTTTTAAGGTTCCTACCAGATATTTATTACGGCCATCGTTCCAAACCGCAAGGCATTGTAACTCCTCGGCTGCAAACCATCAAATATATTTTATTAAACATAAGAATATAAAACTTTTTATGTATATGTTGCAAAAAAAAATTAATTTTATATAAAATTTTATATAAAAATGTTTATTTAAAATATTTAGTTATATATGCGTTAATTTTTTTTTAATGATTGTAAAAAAAACAAAATAACGATCGCATAAAATTGAAGAGGGAAAAAAAAACTTGTGACACCTTTTTAAAGACCATAACAACCTTACTGAGCAGACTATGAAACTGTGTCCCATTATGGATATTACTTTTACAATGCTCGCCCGAAAGCAATTTGTCAAAGTATAATAGAAATATGATGTAACATATTAAGTGCGGTAAATTAAGTCATTCCAAAGCGGATAATATACTTTTGTAACGTACTGTTACTTTCAGTCCCTTCGACGTCCGGACAGGCCTGGTACTTGAGGAGAAGCTTACTCTCGTCTGTACATTTCTCCGCGAGACTTATAGGCATTGTACACTCGCCGTAACCTCGATTATACGTGAATGTAAACGACGACCCGCTAAATGGGCAGGATATCGGTTTGGAGTTTATGCGGAAGATTGAATAGAGCATGTCATCTGAGGTGATCACACTGCACAATTCTTCCAAATTCTTTCGTTCCAAGGTGCACCACGCTGGAGAGAATATTTTTAGTTTTAACGACCTCTTATTTTTACATGTCGCAGACTCTTTATAAATTTAGAGAAAGATGTCAATAAAGATCCGATGCTTTTATAAAAGAGCTAGTTTTGCAAAAAGCTTGCGATATCATGCTTCGTATTTACTCTCAATAAAAAGGGCGTACCTTCACGATATTGGATGGACGTTCTCATGTCGTCCGTTGATAATCATACATTGATAACAGTTATCTGCAATATTGCTGCAAAAAAAATTCCATTATCAATCATAAACAAATAATTGATAAAAAAAAAAGAAACGTGATTAATTTAATACCTTTTTCTGATGTCGAAATAATAGAATACTTACAAAACGACATATTTGTCATCCGTCCTTTCGACGCAGGCTCTATCTCCGAGAACGGTTGTATTTATAGTGACTGGGGATTTTCCATACTGGTACCATTCTCCCGTCCAACTTGATGGAAACTCGCAAGATCCTGAAATGTAAGGAAACTTTTCATTAAGACATTTTGTCGTGATAAATTTTAAATGTGTTAATTCTAGCAGATATATAATTACTCCTAAAATCACATATTAATATAACAAATCAAATAAAACATTTGTAAAATGCCAATTGCATTTCAAATTTTTTATGAAATTTCTTTTAAGTTTTTAATAAAATTTTTTCTTGCTGAAAAAAAAAATTTCATAATGAAATTATCGAGAAATATTCCAAAATATATTCTTATAATTAAACCTCTGTCTCTCTCTCCTTAAATTAAAATTTTGTCAAATTAAAATTCAAAATATTAATCACAAAAAGCTCAATTTACTTAAGATAATTTATTTGCTAACTTGCAACTAAATTATCTATCCCATTATAATATTTAAAAAAATATTAATTATATACATTATATTAAAGTTACAAGTGTACTTTTAAGTACAGGATGAGAATCTAAAATTAAATCTCACAAACGAGTTTTCTTTCATGCATCACACATGATAAATCGTGAAAAAAATCCTGATTGTTGATTCGTCGGATATAATGACGCTTCCACTTTAGAAACAAATTATTTCCTTCTTGATTAAACTCTACGTTCATTTAATCCAGGTGATCAAGAATCCAAAGACGAAGGATCGCTTGATTGGGAGAATTAAGAGGCTCCACATGCTCGGGGCTTTCATTAAGAGGAGAGCGAGCGATTAGAAAATTGCTATCGGGCCCAATATCACGATTGCTGGTCGGAGCGTGAGAGTCAGAATCAAGAGATAAAACTGGCCAGCATGTTGTTCCATTGCGTAGCAAAGCGAGGAGCAACGCTCGGAATGCGCGAGTTGAAGAAGAAAAAAAGTTAACGACTCGCTCGTCATTTCTCCAGCCTTCGTCGCCTGTTTGTCTTAGTCACCGGCCGCCAGGATGATCCAGTGAAAAGATGCCAGACATGAACAGGCCAGACATGGACAGAACGTGAACGGGAACATTTCTAACGGGACGTTTTCAGACGCACAAAGCAGAATGCTAGGCTGATAGAGAGCAAACCGTCGTGAATGATTGAGCGCCTTCGTCCTCGGCAGTCTAAATGGCAGAAGAGTTGAGCTCTTTAGACGCTTCAATCTGTTGGAGGCATCTTGCCAGATGTGCCCAGATAGAGCAAGTATTTATTTCCCAAGATATTTTGGCGAAATAAAAATATATATTATATTGTGATAAATCTAGCAGTTCTCCTAATAATTATATGAGATAAATATATTTTCTAAAAAAGAGAGAAAAAGATATTTTTTTAATTTTCTTTGTTTGATTGAAGAAAAATATACAGGGTGTTTCTTAATAAGTGTGAAAATTTTTTTCATATAAATATTAAAAAGTTCTAAAAAAATTGAATAGGGATTGCTAGTTTCATCCCCTTATAACAATACGGAAGACTAAAAAAAATATCAATAAATAACCTTTTTACTAGTAGAAAATATCTACCTAATTTCATTTCTTTAACTTGTTCCAAATTTGAGAAAAAAATAAAAACCTCATTTTAACCCCCATTTTTGGAAGTGTAACTCCGCAGGGAGAGATGTAGGAGTATATGTTTATATGAAAAACCCTCCTTAATTTTCAACAAAGAATCATCCCCTAAAATTTTTCGCATTTATTGAAAAACATCTCTGTATATTGATGAAACTCTCGTTAATGTTGCAGTATTATTACCACAAAATATGAGAAAAAAAAAGAAGGGGAGCATTCATATTACAACTTTATTAGAGCACAATCAATAAGGTATAAAAGCGTGTATTGTGTAAATTTTCATTGATACCGAACCTTTTTGTCTCGCACAAAAAATGTGTACAAGCGCGTGTAATAAATTTGGACTTCAAAGTTGACGCCAGCTCGTTTCTCACGAATTAATGACTTTTTCTATTTCGAGAAATGGAATCATTTCGGTCTGCTCGTCCTTTGGGGTTCTTTATAAAATATGGATCTTATAGGACGCGGTCCCCCGAGAGCAGGCGATAAACACCCTTGGCCGAAGGGTTAAAGTCCAAGTGTTCGGCAGTGCGTATATTTACCGCCGATGTTTAGTACGTTCGATCGAACGCGCGTACATTTCGGGGTGGTTGCTTGCTCGGCGGCGCGAACGGTGGCGAATGTCAGAAATAGAGCCGGGGAAGAGGAGGCGGAGGGACGGCGGAGGCGGAGGGTGCGCGAAGGGAAATGGGATACACACGCGACAACGTCTACGGGGTGTCCCGGAGAACCGATCCGGCCTTAATATTAATGACGGACACATCGGCGAAAATGTAGTCTGTTTTCCGGAAAGGGAGCGGGAGGGACGTTTCGTGGGAGAGGCCATTAAAGTAACAGCCGACATTAATCATCTCCAAATTGGAGTGCTAAAGTATTCAGAAGTCAGAAAAGCGACGGGGGTTACTTAAATTTAAATGAACAGCGAAATTTCGTCCTTTCGGGAAATGGACCCCAGTTCCCCTATTTAATTCGCAAAAAAAAAAAAAAAGAATTGACATTGGAAATTTCGCATTTTTGATTGTTTGTAACACGAAGCTTAATGAGCGTTTGTCTATAATTCATTCTGGGAAAAATCAATTTTAATGAAGGATTTAGAGGACACCTTATATGTGCGCGCGGTGAACCGAGCAGCCAGCAACGTGGAACGCGGGAGAAAAGGAGGAAGGGCGAGGAAAAGCCGTCGACCGTTTTAGACACGCATCTTTCGTCGGAGGAACATCATTTATCTCGACGCGGCCCGGGGGGAGAGGGAGGATGGAACGTTTCGCTTCCGACCCTCTCTCTCTCTCTCCCCCCCCTTCTCCCTCTCTGTCGCATTCGTCCTCGATGAGAAGAAGCGACGACAGATACCGCGGACGCGCGGACAGCCGCTCGACAGACGGCGGCGGCGGTTTTGTACGTCTCGCGCCTCTCCTCGAACGGCTCTTTTTCAGAGAGGCCGACGAGAGCGAGGCGCGAAGCCGTAGAAAGCGGGGGTGGCGACTCGTTAACGAGCTAACGAGCGCGCGGAGTCTCATCCGCGAGAGAGGTTCCGAATCGGACGAAGGAGACACGAGAAAATGTACGTAAACAGACGACTTAACTCGGGGAAAACATGACGAATAGACTTCTCAACGGAAGTAGGATGTTCTCGAGACTCTTAAATATGCTCTCTTTCCTCGTATGTTCAATGTGTGTTAGGTGCATTTGCCTGTCCACATGGTAATATTTCTGGGACCGAAATGACTCTTCCCTTGACAACATTGTCGAGACGTGAATAGTTCTTGGATGGTAACTCATTAAGAAAAAGGGGTTCTTAGCGTGTCATCCATTCTCCTCCAGAAATATCGCACGAAAAGCGAGTGATGAAAACTGATTTCTTGAAAATCAATTTTTTTTAAATAGCTATAAATTCTTAATTTGAATTATAATTATCTTTTGTTGTTTAATATTGCAGTTTTAAAAGTGCTAAAATGTCAAAAGATGTCGCTTAGCAAACATCGAATCAAAAATTCTGGCACAAATCAAATTACTTCAGCTTTCAACGAAAAATATCATTCTATATGTTTATCAGATATGTACATATTTACTTTTAAATATGAAATTTGCAGTTACATTTTTGTGCAAATTTAATTTAAAAATTCCTCGACAACATTGTCGAGACGTGAATAGGTCTTGGATGGTAACTCATTAAGAAAAAGGGGTTCTTAGCGTGTCATTCTTTTCCAAAAATACCGCATGAAAATGAGTAATAAAAACTGCTTTCTTGAAAATCAATTTTTTTTAAATAGCTATAAATTCTTAATTTGAATTATAATTATCTTTTGCTGTTTAATATTGCAGCTTTAGAAGTACTGAAATGTCGAATAATGTCGTTTGACAAACATCAAATCAAAAATTCTGGCAGAAATTAAATTACTTCAATGAAAAATATCATTCTATATATTTATCAGATACGTATTTAAATATCATGAAATTTGCAGTTACTTTTTGTGCAAATTTAATAAAAAAATTCCAATAATATCGCATTTTATTTATTCGTATCACAAAGACAATAAATAAAAGCTATAAAAGATATGAAATCCCAAATTTCAAATTAATATAAATTTATTGCACACAATTTAACAGAATTGTCGAAATGACTTCGGTGAAATTTTAAAAAAGAAAAAAAAAAGAAAAATTCTCGTTGTCCCTTTATCTTTAGTAAATAATCTGAAAGAAGAAAAAAAAACAATGCATATCTATAAAATATAAGCAGCATCTCTTTAGAACGGCAGTGTTAAAGATTGATTTCATCCAACATCGTATCGACTTGGTGACTTCACTCGATAACACTGCGTCTGACATCATTGATGCAACAGATCTTAAAGGCTTTAAAGTGACAGCGAAACATCATAATACGCCGACATGCGAAAAGAAGACGCTTCGTGAAAGTGGCATTCAAGGACGCGCGTTTATGAGGACGAGTAGACGTAATTATTTGCTATTACTTCATTGTTCGCGCATTATCGAAGTCGCAGACGTGAGGTGGAGATATATACATATTTGCACACGCCATACACACACACACATACGCACACGGATATATATACCCGGCGCGCTCATAAATGACTCACCGTTTGCAGAGGGTAGATCGACCAATGGTAGTATCAGCAGCACCAACACCGACACTGGGGTGAGGAGCCCTTTTCGGCGCGGGAATGACTGTTCCTGCATCCTGGAAAATATACGCACATACTTTCATTATACGCACGTTGAAATATGCAGGCCGGTTGGCGCGAATTTCTACCGCGCGCATCAGAGAACATTTGCAAAGTCTTATTTTTCTTTCATCACGTCAGAGAGAAATTACGAGTTATCAAACATAATTGTAAATCTAATCGCGTATTATGTAAAATAGTGTGTATAATTGACAGATCAGATTTCTAATTATTTAAAAAAAAATATCAATATATATTAAAATTTAAATTCATTGTACTATTATTAGATATGACACTGTAAAATTGTGTAGCATTAATTATAATAATTAATTCATTCGAAAATTTTTGTCAGAAGTGTCTTTGTGATAATTTATTATTATGAAGATATGAGTGATTTAAATAAATTGTGAATGTTATTGATAATTTATTGAAATACATGATGTGATTAGATTGTGAATTGTAATCTTCTCTTAATTTTTTGCGCAATAATTTATTTACATTCAACTAAACAATACGCGCGTTCGCTACTTTTTTAACTATTAAATCAAGTTATTTTTTAATTATTAAATCAAGTTATTTTTTTAATTATTAATTTTTCAATTATTTTGCGACTGTAAAATAACTAATTGTGTAAAATCTAGCGTAGGAGAAATATAGGTTATACAATAATTTGTGTGATTAAAGTAATCTATGTTGTTAAAATAATCTGTGTTATTAAAATAGTATTAAAAAACACAGAAGAGAGAACGTACCTGTACGAGATGATAATCGCGAATGACATTGCGCGCGCGAATATTAAAAGTAGATCGGTACGTAAAGTAGCACGAACCACGTGTCCGATCATATAGCACGAAACATGAGCAGTGGGGATAGAAAAAAAAAGCGACAGATAATTCAACATATAGAAAAAATAAAATAAACAGATGACTAGAGGTTTATTTAGAAAAAGAGAGAGTTTTAAGCAAATATAAGAAAACTGAAAAATAATACCAAGTTACGGAAATATATATAGTCTCTGCCACTATTGCTACAGTACAATAATAATTAAATACAAATTAAGTATATATTAATATAATTAATACAATAAATTCAGTAAAAATCAAGTAAAATTAAGTAATAAATTAAGCATAAATTAATATAAGATATAATAGAATTTTTAGTTTATACAAAAAAGAAAAAGTTTTCTGAACATAAATATGCAAGTCTGGAAGAAAAAAATATACAAATAATGATTTTTTTTAATTAATCGTCAAAAATAGATGTAAAAATAATAAATTAATTTTATTTAAAATGTAGAATTAAGTTGCCGATTGTTTAATCGAGTATTTAATCATTAGTCATATTTATTTCGATCGCAGCAGTATAATCTTCCAAATTATTTTTAATTTGAAAATGGTTTGAATTTTTAATTTGCTCAAATTTAATTTGATTCCATTGGATTTAACTAATACAATTTATTTGATTTAATCAGTATCTTAAAACCAGAACAATCTAATTCTATTCGAAAATCCTGTATCTATATAACATTCATGCGCGTTCCAATTTACGGAATAATATTATTTATTAATTATAAATAATACTAAATTATATAGATGTGGGAAAAATTGATATCGCGTTATATAAAAAAAGATATACGTCTCATTATAATAGGTATCAATGTGAATTATTTAGGTAATAAAATTAGTACCTTGAAAAAAAGAACAACTAATCCCTTTCCACGACTGGAATTAAAGGGACGAATGTCGTGTACATACAACATTTCCTCACCGTACAATCGTTCTCATTCCACGGAAATCTCCCTTATGTTCGTCGTCAGTAAAGCTACGTCACGCTATACGCTCATATGTCTCGAAACTTGATCAATTACTCGATAAAATCAATATGTTGAAAAGAGAACAACTCTATAATTCTGTTTTATGACTTGCAGATTAAAGATTGTACACATATGTATATGTATACATGTCCTATATTAATAAAAAAATTTCGTGAAGAAAGATTGACAAATGTAAGAAAGAAAATTAAAACGTCTTTTCATTCAATCACCGATTTTGAAAGTAATTATTTACGTTGTTTTTATATCATTGGTTTATCGTACCACTCTTAAATTTTTAAATCATAGAACGTGAGAGAGTACATTAAATTGCGATGATTTCATAAACACATCAATTGAACATTTTCACTATGACATATATGTAACACACATATAATATATACGCGCTGCACAATAAAAAATTGTGCGTTTATATGTTAAAATTTTCTTGTGTTACCACGTTTTGATTAATACTTCAATGTAAAATTAACACACAACCTATATGTTATAATGTTTTCATACGTATTTATGTCACCTTCATGCGTATTTATGTCACCTTCATGTTTATTCCAATTTAACACTTATATGTTTCTTAGAAATATAATATTATTTTGAGTATTTTTAACATAATCATTTTAAACAATCAACATGTCTCAAAGTCAGTTTACATTCTAAGAAAAGTTAAAGTTAATCTTCAAATAATCTTGAACTTTGACATACAAAAATAATCAAATTTTCTAAAATCAAATGTTTCTATTACAAATAATTTAAGTTAAAATAATTACTATTATACGTTAATGTCCTCAACATTTCTTACGAGTTATTGTAACTATTTTTTCATGTAATTTTTAATTAATTTGTATGTTATTTTTGCATTACACTTCAAGTCACGAAAACACAAATAAATGTATAAAGTATTGTGTCAATTATTTAACATATTTAGTTTGTCAATAAGTAACATACGACGAATGAGTTATTTTAACTTAAAATTTAGAGTGGACTTTCTGGGACATGAAAAATGTTATAATTAACATTTTATTTTTTACTATATATGTACATTCCGAAGAATCTAAAGAAAGACGACCTAAAAAACGAAAAGAGAAATAAAAATAAAAAAATAAAAAATAAAAATGAATTAAGAAAAAAATATCATAAGAAAAATAAAAATAAAAAAAATAAAAACGATAATAAGATTATCTCATAAATAATCGTCTTATGAAAAGACAAAACACATCATTGTTCTACACATTTTCTTTCTCTTTTCTCTCACTGTTTCCACAAAAATCGAAGATTTACCTTATGTTTGCGAGAGGAAAGTCGACTGCGAGTTTATCGCGTTACCTCGCCATGGGTTGTCGAAAACCGAACAGTCGCCAAGAAACGTTCACCAAGGATCTCGTCAAGGCAAATCACACGGGAAAAGGATAAAAACGAGGAACTTTCGCGACACGAAACGCACCGTCCACCGTCTATCGCATCGAAATGAGAGCGAGTCGCGATGATCGGCTATAGAAGAAAAAGCGCATCCATCCCGGTGGTAGAGCTCGAGACGCGACGACGAACGTCCACGTACGTATCGCCACGTGAATGGAAAGAACGAGGGATGCATTATTTAACGAGGTACACGTGTACCGCGCCGCTTTGTTGCAACTTACGTTAGCGATGCGACATCGACGTGAAACGCTTCTCTCTCTCCCTCTCTCGGGGACGCATTCGTAGCCCACATCCGCACGCACGTCTTACGCATATGTCACGCGGATCGACCGTTTGACATTTCTGACATTTCGCGCTGGAAGAATCAATTTCGATAGCGCGCTAACATACTTGATATTAATAACTAAACTAAACTTCGTTGGGCAAACAAAGCGTAATTCAGATCGACACCATTGAGAATATCTTATACATGGAGCACTTTTTTCACATTTTTTTTTTAATTCGCGGACGTGCTAAAAAAAGAATGATTGGCGCAGCAATCGATGCTAAAAATGCATAAGGATATATTATTCGACGTGATAATACAACTGGATTTGTCTCGTGGTGATGTAAAAGGGAATTTTTAGATTTTAATTTATAAGCTTGATTTAATTTTTCATTTGACGAATTTTTGATATGACCCGATTTTGGAGAAAGATGTTGATTTGAGGTTTCCGGAAAAAAAGCTTTTTTAAATATTCTAAAAAATTGCAATTTTAGCTTGCAGATGAATCTTCTTGAAAGCAATCGAAAAACGATAATTTAATTTCTCTACTCCTCATTACTTCTCTCTGAAGTTCTATCCTTTAATGTTGCAATAATGTTCTTTCAATATTGAATTATTCCGCGATCGCTATTATTCTTGTCTGCCCTATAGCAATTGTGTGGCTGAAACGACATTCGATAGCAGTGGGAGAGCCTATAATATAGGTGGGACTATAATTCTAAGAGAGGCAAAGAAAGAATATGTCGTTAACTATAATTATTCAATTTCAGCTATTGACGGGATTACACACTTGTAACGCGATAAATCTACTTAAGAATGAGCCAAATGTCCTTTTTCGAATTTTATGTCACGTATAATAAATCGTATTTAACACGTCAAGAGAAACTACTTTAATGCAGATTTTCCGAAATGCAACTATTTTTCTCATTTTCGAAGTCAGCATAATTATCTGTGATAACTACTCATACATATTTACAAAATAAACAACTCAGTGAGTAATATTTGCTAATTATTGACTTTTAATTAATTTTAAAACACTATAAATATATCATAATTAATTTTAAAATTAATTAATTAACTAATTAATTTAAAAATTTTGTTTTAAAATTAATTAATTAAATAATTAATTTTAAAATTTTGTTTTAAAATTATTTAATTAAATAATTAATTTTAAAACACTATGAAAAAAATATATACAATATACATTTAATGCTTTAAAAATAATTATTAAAAATGGATAATTATAGCAAATGATTAATAAATATATATAAAGTAGCCAGAATATATTTACGTAAAAAATGATAGTCTCATAAACATAAAATATTTAAAAATATTTTATATCTGAAAAAATGTCTTCTGAATCATGCAAAAGATTGATGGACACATTTGTGGTAATAAAATATTCTGCTGATAGATCTTTTCAAAATCTATACATTCCGCTATATATATGAACGTGTGCAGAACGAGTTTCCATCTCCGATCACCGATACATTTGCGTTACATTTATCTTAAATGTGATCCGGGTTATTGATCTCTAAGGCTGCCGCAACTCGATGGTACTGAATAAATAAAGCATAAAATAAATAAACGCAAGACAGACAACACACGTACACACATGTATACACATAGAAACGCCGCTCCAATTTTTTTTACCTAACACTCATGATTATTTCAGATCGAATATGTTTTTTATATGTTTTATATTAATACTGTGAATCACTATAATGCGATTCAAGTATTGATAATGTTAGCAATCTTATCTATCTTGATGATAAATGAGCCGAACTGATTCACGTTGTTGGAAAAAAACAAACATTATTCTTCTATCATTAAAGTCGCTTTGTATTATAGCAACAAGAGTTATTATTAATTTACCGCATTTGTTACTCGAATCGATCTTTCTGGGAATAATAGCGACGATCGTTTATCATATTAAATGTGTGTGGTTTTCCCAGTCACGATTGCATTAGATTCTAATTAGAGGATGATCGATGATGATCTTTGACATTCAATTTTTATGCAACGTGCTATTCGTATCGTTACACTTTGTTGATTATATTTTAAGGAACAATTTATATAAATATTTATATAAATTTATTGAATTTAAGGAATAACGATATATTTTTTAAATAGAAATTAATAAGGTCATATAATCTATTTATTTATTAATATATTTATTTATTAATATTTATTAATATAAATAATTTATTTATTAATATATCTATTAATCTATTAATCTATTATCTATTATCTATTTATCTATCTAATTATATTTAAAAATCGTATATACATATTTTTAAATTATTTAATTCATGTATAAACATCTATTAATAAAAATATTGCAAGAAGTCTGGTTGAAAATATCTGATAGATGATATTTAAATCCAGATTATATTTGAGACATTTTTAAATATAGAGCAATAATAATATTATATTCGCATTACGAGATAATATTCTCAGTTGTAATTTATCGAGGCTTTATAATTGCAATAAAAAAAAATAAAAAAATCAAAGATGAAATTGCTTGATGATCTCAGGTATCTCGGGATACTACCCTGAGGATGACTCAGGAACAGGTCGGTAAGGGAAAACTGTCGGCTACTAACCGGAATGGGACAAAAGGCAACCGCAAAGTCGAGCCGGTTGCACCAACGTCGGTTAGCCTTTAATCTCTCTTCTGTATCTTTATTACAGCTACGATTGTGCGATGCAGAGGATCGTGTGTAATGGGAGGGAACAAGATATCGCTAGCCGATTGAATAGCCAATCAAAGCTTGATACAGTTGATCAACCCTATGGGTTGCTTGTATAGACATTAGACCTGCTCTTTTCAGTCATACTTAAATTCATCCTTGGTCTCTCCCTCCCTCTCTCTCTTTCTCGCGTGTGAATATGTTTTATTTTTTAAAAAGGCAAAGCATTTTTTAAAAAGGTATGCCAACGATGTGCAAGATTAAATCTATCAACAAAATCAATAATTTTAAATCTGTTCTTTCGAGTCAATCTTTTTTAAAAGTTGTTCATATTTTTCTACAATTTTTTCCTCATTTTTTTCTACCTCTATAAATTATATGATGACTTCTTTTCAATAAGAATTCAATTTGATTAAATCATTTTTGTCATAACTTCACAAATTAAATAAATAAATATATATATATATATATATATATATATATTTAAATTTTAATTATTTAATTATTTAATTAAAGTTATGACAAGAATGATTTAATCAAATTTGTATTGAAAAGAAGTCATATAATTTTATATATTATAAGATTATATATAAAAGATATATAAGATTCTAAATGTAAAAATTATGTAAGATATACTATTTATATATAGATATACTATTTATATATATCATCTTTTTATCACAATTTTAATACTAATTAAATATATACATGTGTGCAATATATAATCTTAAAAATTAAATTTCTATTAAAATATATCTGAAGAAAAAAGAAAAAGAAACTTTCATTATGTTTTTATTTTTGTAATTTTTTTATATTTTCATACATTTTACAATCGCTCCTGAATATTAGCGAAAAAATATTAGCGTTCTTAATGAGAAAACGTCAACTTTAAATTAATTAGCTTCCATATATAAAGTGAACTATAGGAAGTTTGAGATATCTTACATACTCATTATATTTATTTATGAGGCGGACAATGTAAGTATAATTAATAGAGGAGGAAAGAAAGTAGCATAGAGGAGAGAGAGAGAGAGAGAGAGAGAGAGAGAGAGAGAGAGAAAGAGAGAGAGAGAGAGAGAGAGAGAGAGAGAGAGAGAGAGAGAGAGAAAGAGAAATATAGGAAGAGAGAGAGAAAGAGAGAGAGTTATTAAGAGAGATGTATATTTAAATAATGTATATTTAAGTAAAATTTATAAATACTTATATATTTTCTTTCACTTTTTTAAAAAAAACAACTGTCAAACATATAAAAAAAAATGTTTTTTTTGTAAACAAAAACATCATGCTATCCAGAGTACATTTTTTATAACAGCTATTTAGGAATAATTGTTATATATTTAATAAGGTCAAATTTTTCTTCTCGATGTAATTCTCGAATCCAACGATCCATTTTAATCAATTTTTTTCCTTTAACTACATTACACATATGTTATTAATTCGGTGATGATGTTTCGCGAATTTGCTAAATCACGTTAACTGGTCGATTTTACACATCTACCGATATTATCAGATTGATAATTTTATATATATTATTAATCATAATTTAAATTTAATGTTGTAAATGAGGTTGACATATAAAAAAAAGGTCATAATAAAAATACATTTTAAAAACCTAATCCTTTTAACCGTCTTTTCTTCTAAATTTGAATATACTCGTTTTATTCCCATACAGATATCATTGTTATTACATTGCAGCAATATTGCAGCAATATTGCTGCAATGTAACAACAATAATCTTCTGCAATGTAACAACAATAATCCGCTGTACGGTAATTAAAACATACAAACTAAATAAAAGCAATTTCGGTAAGGGACGCAATCGAGGGAAGGATGGGCGATCATCGAGCAAGGATAAAGGCTGATTACGGGTCGTCATCGGTCCAAGGACACAGGGGCAAGAATCTGGCGCGACTAACCTTGAGTACGCGGAGTATCCGTCACCGTGGCGTAGACAGTACCCCGGGGAAGCAATCACATGATGCACTAACAACGAACGCACAGCACGATCGCACCGTCACCGGGTTGAATCCGTCGACGGGGCATCGGTCGGAACGCCGCCGCGCGATCCGTATCGGCCTCGGCACGAAGGTGACAGAAGGGAGCGCACAGGACGATCCTTCGCGAGCGGCCAGGGCGCCTCTCTCTCTCTCCTCCTCCTCTCCCTTCCTTCCTCTCCGTCCCCCTGTCTTCTACGTCTCGCTCCCACCCTCCGGACGAGGTGCTTCGACGGGGCGCCCCGATGCGCGAAAGCGTAACCAGAAACGGAATTTTCGAGTTCCCGACACTCGGTTTACTCGCGAACGGCACGGCCGTCGACAGCGAGCGACGAAATGAGCCTCGACGACACCCCGGTGCACCCGTGCGTCGTCCCCGTCCGCGTCCTCGTCGTCGTCGACTCTCCGGCGGCGGCGGAGCGACGTAAAGCGAGGCAGGTTAACAATGGCGGCTACTACGATCTACGATGCGTGCGGCGAGACGAGAGAGGGGGAAGAGAGAGGTGGTTGCGCGGAGCGCCACTAGATGGCGCGGCAGGGCGAGGGATGGGAGCCGGGGTGGTTGAGCGGAGCGCCGCTAGATGGCGCGACGAGGCAGCGACCGTACACGTCGCCGGCCGACTCGTGCTCTTCCGTTTCGCGCCTTAGTCGACTTCCGGTCGTGCACCGGAGCGGATGCGTTGAGTTGTGTGTTTCTCTCGTACGTGTTTTTATTTTCGAATTTATTTTTCCTTTTTTCGTTAATTGCCTCTTGAGAAGCTAGGTAGATTATATTGTTTAAAAGTTGGAGCTCTCGCTATCGTTTATTAAGACCAATGTTCTGATGCCGGTAATGAAAAAAAGTCTCGTGAAAAAATATTTGGTGCCTTGATGCTTTGTGTCGGCGCATCTTCTAGCGGTTGAAATATAACGAATTTTTTCTATTAATTTTCGAGAATCATAAAGCATTTCGTTCCGCTTGCCTTATTAAAGTTTCAAGACTCCGAAATGGTTGTGACTGATAGCGCTCATTATTTCACTTGAGTGACTTTCAAAAACACAATTTGCATTTTTTTAAATAAACACGAAAATTTCTCTTATACCTGTACCTATCCTCGCCTTAATTTATCATCACACTTCGTCTGCTACTGTGTTAAATCAAAATTGCCGGCGCGATTTTAATATATCATTCGCTAAAGAATTTACATTTTTAAATTATTTTTAATTATTTTTTAATTATTTTTTTCAATTATTTTTTATTCTATTGTACGTGAGAAAAAAATATGATTTCCCTATTTCCTCATCAATCATCGCGATCAATTTAGCTTCGAGTACAAATTCAACATTTCTCTGATAGATTTTCTAACGAGAATCGACGTTCAATGCGAAGGAAAATAAAGGAACTCCGCGTTCTCCAAGTCTGATTGAATACTTCGCTGTCCATCGTCCCGATCTCGAGGGGACAATAGTGAAAGAGACAGGCCTCGAATGCGAGTTTTTTTATGCGTGTTTGCTCCGATAAAGCATGTGCTCCAATACAAATGGTACGTACGACTCGCATCTACGATTTCCTCGAGTTTTTCAATGCGCAAGTTGCATGATGCTTTGTTTTTACATTCGCCCCAAACGCAAGTTGCATAAAGAGAAATGGAAAAAAAAAGAGAAAAGTATCGCTTTCGAGAAAAATTCGTAAAATACTTTTATCCGAGATAATTATTCTAACATAAATTAAAAATATTCTAACATAAAAATATTCTAACTATTCTAACATAAATTAAAAAATAAATTTTAGATATCTGTCGAGTGAAAAATCGATGGAAAATTCAACTTGACTTTAATTATAAATAGGAATAATGTATGACATAATTTTTATGCAACATTACTGTCATATAAATTTATTTAAATCTAATCTTACTTGCATGTATATATTTTTGTAACTTCCTCACGAGATCCGCTCTCTTTAGCTGCCCTTGCTTGCACAGTCAGCATTTAAGATGAACTAAGATGAGCTTACGTCTCGGCATTGGATATCGAGGAAGAGCGTGAAAGGCATTCTAAAAAAAATTGCTATAGAAAGTAACAAAAAAAAAGAAAAAGAACACGAACAGACCCCATTATTCACCGTACGCGACACTATTCTATTGTATTTGTGCAACCTGACAATGTAAAATACTATCGACCACGATAATTTCCCGAAGACACTCAGGTCGGAAGATTAGAAAATGTAACGGGATAAGACACAGGGGGAGAGAGTGGCGTCGAAAAAAAAACAAAAATAAAAAAGGACGCGACGTTTCTCGGAGTCGAAGGACATGGGAGCACCACGTGCGAGGTTGCGCGCCGGATTCCGACGTGATCGATAATCCCCCTTGGGGGACGAGGGCGTGTATCGACGAAATATTTCACTCTTGGATTCGCGCCGACCACCGAGGGATGTTCCGCGCGCATGCACGGCCGAACATATGGGCGCGATGACAGATCGAACGAACGCAGTCGCCGTCGAAGCCGCTTCGGGGAGCGCGCGCGGCCGATCCCTGTTTGCATGTGGCAACGATTCGTAATTAATACATATCTCTTTCTCTCTCTCTTCTCGCATATTCGTATCGCCCTTTTTATCCTCGTTTTTTATTCTCGTCGTGTCTCCTTCGAGTCGCGTTCGAGAGATAATCGCGAGCCTGTGCGTTATATAAAATTTTCCTCCATCTACTAATTGAAGATATTTTCGAATTATTGAGACTTTTTTTGTATTTTTGTATCCTAGTGCAGACTGTACCATTTTCCAGTTAGATAGAAATTGGACGATCGTTTTAATCTTTGATCGTTATGCGTCTTTAGACGAAGTGAAGATCGAGATAAACAGATCGTGTAATAGTTAAATTTCGAAATGTATTAATTTATATAAGAATAATATTTAAATATAAATCCACAAGATCAGCTATGTTATTTCTGACGGAGGTAAGTTAATTTATTAAACTTGAGATTTATAATAATTCATGATCTCCGGTTCAATAATCATGAGTAAAATATTCTAAATTGAATGTCGAATCTATATAAAACATGAACATATATTATCAATATTTTAATATTATATTTTATATATTTTTTTATATTATATTGTTAAATTTTATAATTTTCTTTTTGTATTTAAATAAAAAATACTAGCTGTTGCACGAAAAGATATTTAAACATCTCAACATATATAATCTTCTAGCATAGTTCGTATCAATCAATTATTAATAATTAATCAATCAATTATTAATAATTGATTACGTAATCAATTATTAATAATTATGAAGCAACACATCAAGAGCAATATATTCAAAAAATTAAATGGATAGAAATTTTTTAAAATATTATTATGTTAAAAATAATTTGAGAAATATATACAAATATTTCTTTTGACTTTACTTTTGACGATATAAAGTAGGTTAATCGTATCCTTTTTATCAATTGGGAGCGTTATCGAGGCCACGAGGATATTCTCTGCGCAGGTGCCTGGCGTGGCATGCGAGACCTTTCGATCGTTCTCTCTCGCCTGGAAGGTGTTTGTCATCCCTATACCCTAATGTAGATCGTCGTCTCGGCGACAGACCGATCGAATCGATTTTGATAAAAAAAGAGAGAGAGAAAAAATAGAGAGGGAGAGCGGCGAGTGACCTCAGTGCACAGGATGAAGTCGACGCGATCGCGAATTAAACGAGACGAATTCTTGGAATAGTCCAATGAATCTAATTGTTTTATTATCGATTATTTCCAGTTTATGATATATACTTCGCGTCGCGTAAGTCTTCTCCGTTTTTTTTAAGAGAAAATAAGTATTTGTTCGAGAGAAAGAATAGGGTTAAAGTTAACTGAATCAAATAAATCGTATACGTAATCGTTACGTGTCGTAAATTTGTTCTACTTATTGGGATTAGCAAGGATTAATAAGGACTAGTAAGGACTTATCAAAGATTTCTTAAGTTCTAAATTCTGCTCGATGAGGAGTATGAAAATTAGCAGCGAAAGATACGCGAGAGAGATTCCTTCTTAATTTATTAATCTAACAAAAAAAGATTTTAAAGATACTTTCCTTGATAAAAATTTATTATTTATTTTTATCTTTTCTATTTGCTTCCAATTAAATTTTAAACATGTATTAAAGTTTCGAAAAAAAATAAACCAAACAACTGTTAAGATAATTTTTTTAAAAAAATATCACTCCAAGCATGCACATATTTTATTATCGTTATTAAAATTTTTCATAAAATATTTTAGAAAATATATTATTTAAATGTTACTCATTTCTAAAACATTATATAAATATATATTTATCATCAAATATTTTAACTCAAAAGATGAAAGTGAAATAAAATGAGAGATACACTTTTTCTTCTTACTTATTTGAAGGAAACTTTCATTTTTCTCGTATATCTCTCGCCATTCTAAATCGGTTCTGACTTCAAAAGGTAGCGAACGATAAAAATAAAACAGCGCTATTGTATATACATACATATATACATACCTTATTACTGGTAGGGTATTATTGCAAAACTTTTGCCATTAAGCTTTATCTCAACCCTCGCGGGCGTGAAATATTAAACGCACGGCGGAATCAATGTTACATGTGTAGATATACACACGCTGCCATAAGGCGGATGACATTTCTCTTGTCTTGCCGACAGATATTGATGGGAATGTTGAACATGGTGCAAAAGTCAGATAACGGAAACAGCACCGTCGACGTCGGACCTCGCACGCACGCGAGTTCGATCGACCGCGAGTCGTTCGCCACGGCCTTGATGCATTAGACGACACCGTGAATGCATCGGACGCAATCAGAATGTCATTCTTCGGGCGGAAAATGGGCGGCAGGAGCGGCGGAAGTTCCGAGCATACCGGTCGTAACTTGCAGGACGGTCTGTTTCAGATCGCGTCGCAAGCTTGTCACATCCTAGTGCAAGTAAGTTGACCTTCGACATGGAAAAATATTCATGATATTATTATGGTATCAAAATTTTTATAAACATAAAAAATCGTAAAAAGTAAATAAAATATCATTGCAACTCATGCAACAATACTGTAGTAATATTGCGGCAATATTGGAATGTTGTTGCAACATTGCGACAATATTGCAATATTCCTGCAATATTGTTGCAATGTTTTGTGCTGTATAGGAAATAGTATTTGAGGCAAATAGTTTTTAATTAAAAAATAATATCGAGAATATATGAGAATATGATATGATAGGACCAGAAAGAAAAAAATATTTGCGAAATTTATATAAATAAAATATCAATATATAAAATATTATTGCGAATAATATTCAAGATTAATAGTACGATTGAAAATAGTAGTGAAAATAATATATGAAAAAATAATATGACAAGGTGAAAAGAGAGCATTTCGAAGATAGCATTTCGAAAATAATTGAAATTAGTACCGATGATACTTCATGTTGCTGAGCATATTTGGCTTTCTTAATTTATCTTCCATTTTAAAGTATATAATATAATACTTTAAAAAGTATTGTATCATATATAATACTTTTCAAATTAATCTATTGTATTATCATAACATGCGATAGAGATTATGGCAAATTTATGAATGAAAAAATACTAGAGAAAAAGGATTATTTGAGACGCGTAAAAGTAATATTCTTGTGCATTTACTTTTTAAAATCACATCACATGCATTATTTCTTTATGTTTGATTCATATAAATTATGAAACGTTTGAAATTAATGCAAACGGCGTGTATCGTATTCTTTAATCTCGCAAGCATCTCATTAATGTATATTTTTCCAACAGCAAAATTTTTTTAAAAGTTTTCTAACATAAAAAGTCCACATATGCACTTGATATACATATGTATATTGTCACATATATGTCTTGTTTCATTAGAATCATCAAAATATATCTTGCACTTCTTCATGCATATTTATGAGATTGCACATAAATTTGAAATTGATTCTCAGCAAAAATCCAAAAATTAATTTTCTTATTTTTCTTCTTAATATTCAATTTTACAAACTTATAAAAAATATTAACTTATAGTAAATTCAATTAAAAATTGGCTAAATTTTATTGTAAATTAAAACTTTATTGAAATAAAATATCGAATTAAAATTATTTGAAGAATAAAATTTTGTTATGTGTTTGCAGTCTCGATATTTAATTTACATAAATAATACAATATTTTTTAAAATAAATTCTTTAATTTTTTTTGTGCTTATTATAAATAATATCTATTGATTTAAATAAAATGATAAAATATATCATTATGTTTTTCTGTTAAGGTGAATAACACGCACAATGTTTCTTACGGGGGTAGCAATAATGTGAATAATATCGCGTATTCGAAATATTCCATGGCCGGCGGTTCGACTACTTCGACAACGTCATCATCAACAAAAGGGACGACCTCCGACAAAACTTACCCAAAGTATGCGGAATCTCGGGATAAAGACCAAGATGTGGTTGTATTGTTGCCGCATCGCAAGAATAGAACACCGCGACTTAAGCACAAATTATCGGTGAGTCTTCTCATGTTGCTGAAATCAGATATAAATGTAAAATTAATGCTATATAATGATAATATTATATGGAAAATTCAGAAAGAAGCATTTCTAATTTATAAAGTTTTCTTTACTCATAAATCAAATGGATCAATTTTAAGTGGTCTTATTTATTGAATTGCTCCAATATTGTTCTGACGTATTCTCTCTCCATTTATTTCTATGAAACAAAAAATAAAATTTTTTAAATTTTTAAATAATGTCTTTGAAAAAGTAATTTTATTATTTGTACAGTAATTTTATTAAAGTAATTTTTTTTATATAAGAAATCTTATTATTAGTATATTACTTAAGCAAAAAACTTATTATTTATTATCGAGAAAAAATTAAGTAATGATATATATATTTAAATAAAATGACAGAATTTTTATAAAAATGTAAAATGATATGCAATATAATACATACATTATTTTATGAGAAAATAATATTTTTGCATAATAATATTTTAAACAAGAAATGTGCACGCGCGCACGTGTGTGATGATGTGTGATGTTAAATAAAAATCTTTGTCTTTTTTCGACTTATAATGTTGTTGCGAAATATTCCGATTAATTTTGCATCGAGTTTGTTCATTTTCTTAATGAATCACGAGCGGATCGTCTTTCTCGTCACGTGTTCTCATCGCGAGTGGCAAAGTCCGCGTGCTCCTTATCATATTAACAAGATAAAATCTAATGTCGTCTTTACTGGAAGACTTGTAAGACGTAAACATGTCAGGCAACAAAGCAAATTTCTTGTTTATACGAAATCGTGAAAGCAGATTTTTCGAACTGTGCGAATCACGTAACAATGTCGCACACGTGGTGCACATGTGTACTCTGTTGCAGACTGTGTCCGAAAACGCACGGTTGGACGTAAACTCTCCAGGCGGTGACGACGACTTTGAGCTATGGGACCAGTCTGGATTTATGTTAAGGAACGATGTGGATGATCTCACAAATGCAAGGTATATATTATATTTTTATATTTTATATATTTTATATTTTATTTTATATATTATATTTTATATTTTATTTTTATATTTTATTTTATATTTTACATTTTATTTTATATTTTATATTTTAAAAATTATATAAAGATAGCGTAGCTTAAATATATATAATCGTTATAATCTGTAATAGATTTAAAAAAAGATCTTCTTTAATTATATAACAATAATATAATTTTAAAGAACAATATCACTCTTTCAATAATTAAATTTTTATTCTTATTATAAATAAATCATATTCCAAGCGCATACGCAAAATTTGTTTCTATTGCTTTTGTATATAATTGTTTTTCACAAATTAAAAAAAGAATAAATATAAAAAACTAGTGCGTATGTACTTGAAATATATAAAGGCCTCAACTCCCATAAAAAAATATTATCGCAATAATGGTGAATTCCTGCTAAAAAAAAAGATGGGGCGCGCAGAGTTGGTGCAGACCGAGTTGCATACCAATAACGATCATATTAATTTTGATCGTCCTGGTCGTACTTTTGCCATTATTGGACCACGCGGCAGACAAGTATGCGCTAAATGCTACCGCATTGGATACAGAGTCGTGCATGGATCATTGCAGTATATCTTTGGTAGAAACTATACCTATAGGTATGAATTACAATAATAATACCGCGCCACACGAGACTATCCATGATTCTTGGATGGATCTCATCGGAATGGCACAGGAGAGCATCGAAATCGCATCGCTTTATTGGACGATGAAGAGAGACGATGTGGTTCCTTCAGATAACAGTGCTCAGAATGTAAGTAATGCGTAATATGGTAGTATCATGCAAACATACAGACAATTGTGATTTATTGATCGTTTGTCTAATAAATCAACTCTTTACAGGGAGAACAAGTGTTCCAGGCGCTTTTAGAAGCTGGAAGAGATAGGCAGATTGCGTTAAAAATTGCACAGAATTTCCCTTCTCACTTGTCGCCGAATGTGGATACGCAAATCTTAGCCAAAAAAGCTAATGCACTAGTAATTAATTTAATTTTTTTATATCTTAAACAAGTGGATGTGTCGCTCGAGAACTGAAAATAATCACATGATAAATTTTTTAAATCACTCAATCAAAATGCTTATATAAAACAATAAAATTTTGTGTACATGTGTATAAGTAAGAGACAAATTTGTTATTTATTCATGAAGATTCGATCGACACAATGTAATTCCACTTTTCTCTTTTTTTTCTTTTTTGCTTTGCATAGTTATAAACACGAACAGGTACTTTTATTCAAATTCAGGTGATGGATTTAAATTTTGCTGGATTGTTGGGCGGCGGTGTACTTCATACGAAATTGTGGCTCATCGATCGTACTCACATATACGTTGGTTCAGCGAATATGGATTGGAGATCTCTTTCACACGTGAAGGAACTCGGCTTGGTGGCATTGAACTGTTCCTGTTTAGCAAACGATTATGCTAAAATATTTGATGTAAGCAGGAATATAATTTGCGAAAATAGTGCGTTTAAATGTATTGAAAATCATTTCGTAATTAATGTCGATTAAATGTATTGGAAATCATTTCATAATTAACATCGATTTTTTTTTACTTTACAGGTGTATTGGAAGTTAGGCGAAGATGGTAAAGTGCCTTCCACATGGCCGGATTCTCTCAGCACAAAAATAAATATAGATAATCCTATGAATTTTACATACATGGAAAACAAGTACAAAATATTTATCGCGGTTAGTATTTAATGTTAATAAATGCATTACGCATATAATAAATAATAAATTAACGCATATGATAAATAATTATTTTTTTAGAATCACTCATGAAAAATATAAATATTAAAAAATTACAGAGCTCACCTCCGCCATTTTCGCCGAAAGGTAGAAGCAACGATCTAGACGCGATCTTGCACTGTATTGCTAAAGCGGAAAAGTTTATTTATATCTCTGTGATGGATTATTTTCCATTAACGATATATACTGCACAAATAAAGTATGTATAAAGATTAAAAATTATATATGTTTACGTGTGTGTAATTCAATTTCTAAAATACGACAAAATGTGAATATGAATAAGTAGTTTAAATTAGCTAAAAAAATAATGATAATTGAGAAGGTGCATAGAATGTCTTTAAAATATTAATATACTTACCACGAAAATTTAATATTATTATTATTATTATATATTTCATATAATATAATATTAGCTTCCTTTTATTTTGATTCTTTTGTCGAACATTTCACGTTTATAGATATTGGCCTATAATAGACAATGCTCTGAGAGCGGCAGCGATCGAGCGTAAAATAGAAGTGCGTCTTTTGATTTCCTGGTGGAAACATTCAAAACCGTCCGAATCATATTTTCTTAAATCGTTGCAAGATCTGACGCATTCTTACCCCAATGTCAAAATCGAAGTAGTAAGTATATCCTCCACACGTAGGTATAGTCAATTTCTCACAACTACTTGTTTAATCTTTACAGAGGCGATTTATCGTACCCACCTCACCAACTCTAGATAAAATACCATTCGCGAGAGTAAACCATAACAAATATATGGTTACCGATATAGCGGCTTATATAGGAACGAGTAATTGGTCAGGTGACTATTTTATTGACACAGCTGGTAAGTTGCAATGCCATTTTTATGAAAATAAAATAACACAGATTAGAGTAAAATTCTATGTGTGTGTATCATTTTTATATAAATTACTTAAAATATTATGTAAGAGTAGTTTTTTAATTATTTTCTTCTTTACAAAAATTTATTTTAACACAAATATTTGAATTCAGGTATCGGTACCGTATTTGAAAGCGTTGGACGTCAGAATACAGACAATATAAGACAACAGCTGGAAAATATCTTCCGCCGCGATTGGTATTCCAACTATTCGTTCCCGTTGCATAATATAAACGAGACGCGTTTCGCAAACACGTGGGGTTTATCGAGAAATTCATATCAACGCGCGTCGTATGAACCTTACATACATACGTAATTATAATATATATATTTCTTCTTTGATCTTTTAATTTAGAAAAATTTTATCGTATCGATTTGCAGGAAGAAAATTCATCTCATTTTTCAATAGAAATATATACAAAATTGATATTTTTAATTACATTCTCGACTTATATGTATATATGCGCTCTCTCTGCTTTTTTAAGTAATTACTATATTTTCTTAAAATTTTCACGAAACTTATAATTATGCAGAGAAATGAATCATTGTATGAATATCTTTATTGTTGTACATTATTGCTGTATTTGTAAGATTTTATATGTTATGTAACACGTGACACAACGTGTGAAACTTTTTTTAGTGGTTTTAAGAAATTAAATTATAATATTATAACATTATTAATGGAGGCTATCAAAACGATAAGTTGATTTATAAGAATATGAATTAATTATTACATTTTTATATGTAAATTGTATAATTAAATTATGATGTATTATAGCATCGTAATACAGGCAGTTACAGTGGTAAGTTGATTAATAAGAATATGAATTAATATTTTGTTTTTATATATATTTTTTTTATAAAGTTATTGCATGATCATAATAGTAAATTTTAATTCAGAATTAATAAATTTAATCAATATCAATATCGAGTAAATGATAAAATTTATATACTCTGCATTTAATATGCAATCTTCTTATATTTGTATTAATAATTAAGTTTTTTCTCAAATTCTTTCTTTAAAATTCATCTTTTAAATCTATTTCTAATTTTTATTTCACTTGAAAATTTTCGCCGAAAGCATGTCAATAGATATCAGTTCTTCCTTTATGCTGATCTCTCTTTATTTCATAATCATATCTATCCATATCGTGCATGTGCCTAGCATATTGTTTAACAAAAAGGATAAAACGTGCCTTAAGAGTTATTTTGAGAGGCAATATTAATGTACATTCAAGAAATGCATCGATTCTGCGTTCTTCCATGTAATCCGTGATCTCCCTAGAACTCATATCTCATTGTTACTTATCTGTTGTGCCTGTTTAGTAATACACTATACAAAAATGGGACCTGATTATTAACAATGTTTTAATAAGTATTAAAAAAAGAATAAAATATTCTGAATTGATTCATTCCCGATTGAAAGGCTATTACAATATCTTGTACAAGACATTGATCAGATAATTATTAATAATTATTAATAAAATAAATAATATTGTGTAATTAAATAATTAAGACATGTGCGTATTTTAATCTTCATGCACAATATTATATCCACAATCTTTGTATAATATATATTGAGTATCGTTACAACAAAAGGTGATACATTTTAATTTTTATTGAAATCCGTACATAGTACTGAATACATAATACATCTGAATGATGAGGCAATTAACTTTGGCTAATAATTACCGCTTAAAAATTAGACTAAAATTATAACATATAATTGTAATAGTATTCAATGATATCAACTATTGTTAATGATAATAATCGATGATAAATATATTATAGAATGATAATTGCTCAGTTTATATCAATAATTATTTATATTTTAAAATGTTAGAAATTTCTTAAGCAGTATTAATTTTTTGTTATGTACATTATTTAATAAAACTACACAATGCATAAAGGAAGAAAGAAAGGAAAATATATACAAGAAAGTTTTGTGATTTAATAAGAGACTTTTTATAGATCATTTTCCAGTCTTAAATAATACCGGCAACAAAAATTAACAAAGAATATTGCTCAAAAGCTTATGATTTAACTAATAAAATTTGAGATTTTCAATATTATAGTCAAATTTCTATACAGAAAAAAAGGAATAAAAGCGAAAAAAAAGGAATAAAACCGAAAAAGATAAATCAATAAATGGATAATGGATTGTCTTTATTTTAAATATTTCAAAATTTCAATTTTTAAATATTTCAATATTCTCATATAATAATCTTTTGTCATGTAATAAAGTATTAATAAAGCGTTTATTTAATTAAATAAAAAGAAGATATTAAATTGCGAGCGATATCAAATTTATTAGACTTTAGAATTATTCACAAAAAATGTCAATATCATGACAATCTGCAATCTACGGTTCTATGGTCTATAAAATTTATTTGAAACAAAAAAATGTAGATATGAATTCAATATAAAACATATACTATTTATTTTTAAAATAAAAAATTATATTGAATTATTTTATAATCTTAATAATTCATCAATTTTTAATGAAAGGTATAATGTATTGTAAAATTACTGCTCAGTTATATGTACGTATTGTTTCTAAATATATCTTTAAGTCCTTTGGATATAATTGCAAACAACGATAATTAAATAATTGCTTTTTGAAATGTATCGTGATATATTGCGAACATAGAGAATAGATATTATTAACATAAATAAAAATTATATAAAATTCCCCCGCCACATTTGTGCCTTGCTTTAATAAGTGTAATTATACAAAGCGACAAAATATATTTTAGTAATTTTGATCTCAATTTTATAAGCAGAATGAAAATAAAAACACAATGTACTCTCACACACTTCTTATTAGATTTCGCGTTATGATCCTAAAGAGAATATTATGCAATTATATAAAAAATTTGAATGATTGGTTATGTTCTCACTCTTGACCTAAAAAAATTAAATGTTAAAGCTAAAAAAAATTTAGATTATGTATAACATCACAGATATCAGAAGATTCATGTTGTCTGATATTTTAAGGAATATATAATTAATAATTATATTAATATTTATATCTTTATTATTAATTAGTTATAATTTAAACGAATAGTTCTTAAGTAAAAAAAATATATATTAAAAATTATATAATTTAAATGTAGACATTTAAACGAATAGTTCTTGAATGAAAAAATATATATTAAAAAAAGATTATTGTAATTATTATTTTAATATCCCACAAAAAACGTTATACACGGCTTATAAATCGAATTTTAAAAATAAATTCTAAATTAAATGTGTTGTAATGAAAGAAAAATAAAATATTTTTATATATAAGCAGTTTCCAAAAATCCAATTTCTAAAATCATTCTATGAATTATATTCTTGAATATATATTCTATATATTCAAGAAAATCATTATTATATATTATTCGATATCCTTATAATAATATACAATAATAATATAAAATTTTGATATAAAATGATGTTTTTTTTTTATGTCAAATAATATTATTTCGATGGCAATGTGTATTAATTACATGGGAAAGCACGATATAATATTGAAATTTAAAAAAAAGTACTTTATGTAATTACTTATTGTCTTTATATTATTTATGCAAGATTAAAATGTAAAATATTCACACGTGCAACTTCTTTTTATTAAACTTAAAGATATATTTTTTATTTGCCTATTTTTATAATTATTTTTTTATTTTTTTCTATTATAATTATTTTTTTCTATTATAATTATTTTTTTATGTTTCTTATATCTATTGGTTCTTGCAGAAATGTAAGGTAACTGCTAGCTTCTTTTTTTTTCTTCTTTATATACAAATCCATTGTATAGATCATACAGTTTAGAATAAAATTTTAAATTTGAATAATTTTTAAAGAAATTTACAATTATAATCATTACACAAAGATTACATACAGCAATCTTTTTGATATTTAAAAATCAATTTGGAATATTTTATATAACTTATTATATATGTATAGTATGCATACGTGCGTGTGCATGTATGTGTATTCTTTTTTTGCTCATATTTTTGGTCCCGTTATATTTTACTTTCGCAATATCTTTCCAAAGAGGCGGTACCAGACTCAGATAATTGGGATTGTAGTTAGGTCACCTGCGACTGATGGTTCTTGACTGCGCGGAGATGCTTTTACTGTTCGTGAACGGGTTTCCAGTCTCTCGTCACGTAACATTTTATCCGGGTAACCGCTATTAATCGGTCAAAGTTTTTATCGAAAATTCTTCTACGTTTATTACATATATTACGTTTATTACGTACTTCATCAGCTTCTTTAGGAAACAGGAATTCAAATACGAGGCTATTTTTTGCGAAAACATTATTTTAAAAATTGCTCACATTAATCTATTAGAATGAGCGATAAGAATAATATAGTTAAATAAAATTTCTTAGCGTTGGATATAAATAAATTACATCTTAAAGATAAACTTGTTTAAAATAAGATTTTTGGCCTTCTATGATATTTGGCATTCTATAATCAACAGTAACAAATTACGGATTTAATCAACAATAACAATTTCATTAATATTACGAAAGATTTTAAGGATTTGAATTATCTAATTTATAATATTTTGTTTATCTTAATTTATAATATTTTGTTTATACTATAGTACATAACAAAGTAATTTAACTTTCTGCCGAACCAAGAATATTTTTTTGTGTTTAAAAATAATGAATAATAAAATACTCATTTATTTTTGGGGATGCATATTTATAATATAACGTAAATCTTCCCTCTATCAATTCTTTATCTATATGAATTTATATATTTATATTCTATTATATTCAATTCTTATGTATCTTTTATTATAAAAAATATCAGAATAAAAATGATGACATCTTTTTCGATCTCGCGCTGCTATTCCAAGATTAATGATTTTAATGACATGACTTTACAATATTTTTTACTTACAGTACAGAGCAAAATAATGTAATTTTAAATCTAGAATAATTTTTGTCTCTAAATATATGACAAACAATAAATATTTAGACATCATTTATTTTTGGATTAGTTTATTTGTAATAAAATCAGCAAGATATCAGTAACAATTTCACTAGTTTTACGAAAGATTTTAATGATCTGAATGGATAATATATTCATAATATAAAATGTATAATATATTATAATATTTTTTATTTATACTATAGTACGTAACAAAGTAATTTAATCTCTGTCATTTTTTATTTATAAATGTTATCTCTTATTTTGCTTTTTATCTAATTTATATATATATTCTTTGTTATAAAAAACTTGAAATAAAAACCGTGATATTTCTTTGCATCTCGAGTCTATTCTAAAATTAATGATTCACTGAAGAAGTCATTCTGATATACATTTGCGTATATTCATTCTTACGTTTTTTAAAATCATCATTTATCTTTAGAAAATATCAGTAGGATCTTTAATTAATCTTTTAATTTGTCACTTGTATGAACGACGGTACAAGTGGTGGAAGCAGAGGAAGAAGAGTATAAAAAGGAGGGGTACTTGATCAGGAAGGGATACGAAGAAGTAGGTGTGGGAAAAGTGGGACCACTGCGAGGCTCAACCGGAGTGACAAAATACGGACTGTTTTACTCGCGAAAAGTCGACGAGGCAGAAAAGAGGATTGATAGATCCGCACACGCGAGGAGAAAGTTATTACATACATACCTGCCCAGTATACCTGTCTACCTGACTACCTATCTATTTGCCTAAGCCAGCGCGATCATCCGTCTCGACTGCCTGCTTATCCACTACCGTTGCCGTTGATCTCTGGGGATTCCCTTTGTTAAGCATCTCTCGACATTAAGGTTAGTGGAAAATTAACTTCATCCGAAATTGATACGCAAAACACGTCCGCACATAGCATCTGCGGTGAATTCGCGACGCGTTTTTCCTAGTTAGTAGCTTATCACTCATTGCTCTATCGTGTTGTCTTGGCTGAGTTGACTACCTCAGTCGACTTCTACTACTCGCAAGATCGAGAACATATTGAAATATTTTCGTCAATAGAAGAGTAAGTGATTCTCATTGAAATAAATATATTTAATAGATATTTCGTGATTAAAGTTTATTTTTTTTTTCAATTTTAATGAATTTAATGGAAATTTGAAAATTAAATCTCGCAAAAATAAATGTACCACATGTATAAATTTGTTTGCGATATATATCGTATTTTTTTTATTAAAATTTGTTGTGTTCTGAAACTTAACAATTAAATCTATCAAAAATTGTAATATACAAAATATATAATATTTCATTCTTTTAAATCTTATCTTTTTATTAAAATATCATTAAAATATCAATTTATATTTCGACAAAAAATAAATTTTTTTCATTATTTTTTATTTCTTCTATTATGATATTTTTTCACTATATATGATGGAGATATTAGGTGGCATTATTATCTATTGTTCCTGTCTTTCTTTTTAAATTAATAATTGCTGATGTTGATTAATTTTAGTCTTATAAATTAACTTTAACAGAAATTATTAAAAGACAAAAAATTGTAATATAATACATATTGCATAATAAACATAATATATATTACATAAACGTACTATATATATATATATTATATTATATAATAATATAAAATTTAATATATAAATATAATATATATTATATTTTGATATTGATAGTCAATTCATGATATTATTTTTCAAAATCTTTTTCTCTTTTCCTTTTCATTTTCTTTTTCTTAAACATTAGATTTAAACTCTAAAAATTTTAAACAGATTTATACTTGCGGAAATTGTGACAATTTTAACGGAAAAATCACATACACAAATATATTTATAATATATTTAATATCATAAATATATTTTAATATTATCATAAATATATCATAAATATATTTAAAATAAAATAAACAAATTAAAATATATTTCCATCGTCTAACATTAATAAAAATCTATCTGCGTATTCGTCATCAGATTAATTCATCTGATACATTTTTTGGTTTCTTTCTTTTCTAATTTTTATGAATTTATAATTCAAACATGTTAATGATACATTGACAATGAGAAAAATCGTTTGAGTGTACCAACAAGACATATATGATTGAAGGCATTTTGGTTAAATCAAACAAGAATTTCTAGTTATCATGATAAGACTCGATTTTTTATAACTAGAACGTTTAATAGATTTTACTATAAGGATTTGGTTAGTATTTTCTGGTTGAATCTATAAAATTTTTTGTTACATTAATTTCTTTGCTTGCCGCTAGGCGAGCATGAATCACTCTTAACTTAACTCGTATTCAATATTTGCCATGAAATGTATATAAAGAACTAGTATTAACATTAAATCTAAAGTATATTTTTTTTCTCTTACGTACAGTAGTGTCAAAAGAGGACGCTAGCTCTCTGATTGTGTGTATTTGAGCTGCACCCTCTTCTTGCACTGTTTATCAGTTTAATTTTTAACAAACTGAATTTAAAATAATTTTTCAATAATCTGGATTGAATTTATCCAATAATCTTGTTGGAATTCAGAATATTAAACAGACTTTTGAGATTAGATGGAAAAAATTTTAGACGACTTGGTGCTGGTGAGTTTAGTATTATTAACCAGAAAATTTGGTAAATTTAACAGGAAGAAATTAATCAGATTCATCTGATAATTCCTAGAATTCTGGTTCGTCCAACAGACATACTGGTTGAATCTACTAGAATTCTAATTAATACAACCAAATTTTTTTCTCAGTGTAATTATAGTATAAAATACTAATATAATATTCTTATTTGGCTGCAAAAGCAATTATATATAATTAAATATTAAATACGTTAATATTTAATACTTTAATAATCTCTTCTTGATTTAAGCAATTTTAATCGCAAATTAAACACACAAAATATCATATGAATATCATTATTCCGATATCTGTTTGCTCTCTTACAAAGTCACGCGTAGCGATAGGAAAATTTGCTTTTTGAAAACTTTGTCAACATGTAAATTTGGTCACGTATTTTAGCTTCTTTATTTTTAGTTTCTTTGCGGAATTTATAATTATAAAGAATTCTTTATCATTCCACGTATCGCTCGAAAAGCAATTAATGTCACTTTGCGCGTAAGGGAAACGACTCGTGGCGGTTCCGACTGCTCGAGCGTTGTAAGAATAGTTTAGCGAGAAAATTACAGGATACAGAAACAGATGTCAAGTACACATCAAAAGCATAATAATTAGAAAGTAACACGATATAGTTTACATGCATGAATTAATGCAAAATTCAATAATTTCCTATATAATCTTAAATATGACTTATCTTTCTTTTTGATATATATATATAAAACATATAAATTTCCTATATAATATATAGATATTTATATATCAATATCAAAATAATCTTTTTGGGTTAATTTTAATAGCTGTAATGATAATGTTGACATATTGTTGAAAAGTAATGACATGTACGTTAAATGTAAGATACCCTACATACGTAAGAAAGTATTTGTTACAACTGATTGCTTAATATTGCATTGTGCAAATTGCGCATACCTCTTGCGTTATTTGTAAACTTAAATCGATCAGATTCGTTAAGTATAATATTAAAGATTTATAATTATGCAATATAACTACAATATTAATATAATAAATAGAGTATCATAAATTTAAATGACATAAACAAATGTTCTATTATGTTGGAAAAATATTAAACAATAATTTTAATAATGTATCCAGTTTAAATAATTGTTAATAATGAAATTGATAAAAAATAGAAATTGATAATTCGCGAAAAATAATAACTCTTCGTTTAGTAAATAATAATATTAAATTCATAAATAAAATCAGGGATATATTCTGCACAGAATTTACAAAAAAATCAAATAAGATACCGCATTAGGTAACTAAACCAAAAATTGTACAATTATCGAGAAACAGGAGGAATAACATTATATATTTTTATTTGCCATCAGTCTTATCTATTTCAAAAAATAGTTTTCAATTTTAAATTTTATAAAAATATAATTTTAACAAAAAATATAATTTCTACGAAAAAAACCTTTCTCTTTATGAAAAAATAATCATTTATATATTTAGTATATTTTTTAAACAATCAAATTGATATTTTTTTTAGTGATGTAAAAAAGAATAAATATAGGAAATCTAATAATTCAATGATAATACTTCTATTTTAGAAAATATATTCGATATGTCACGATGTCTTTTTCTCTCCTTTCTTCACGCAACGAGAAATCGACCGGCTCCCATGATGATTTACATAAGAAGATATTCAAAACGATTGCGTTGCTTCTAGTAGTTATAGATATTTATTGTCGTTGTATTAATTGTGCGCATTATACATTTTCCATTTCAATTTTCGTATCATTAAATACAATTATGTAATGATAATTACTAATAATGAACCTTGAACTGTAAAACCGATAGTGAAATTAATTATGTCTATTAAGTCACATTTCGATACTAATTAATACATTCATCTTTTTATAAATATTGTTTCCTTGAGAATAAATTATTTTCTTGTTATAATAATTTTAATAAATTTTTCATAAATAATCTTATTATGTGCTTTAGTAAATTAAAAATTTACATTTTAAACAAAAAAATATAATTGAATATATTTTAGAGTGCACATTTTAGGATTAGACACGGCACGCAATCATTTTTTATTCAGTTGTACTTTCTCGATCTTCTAAACGCACTTGATTTTATTTTTTTACTAATTTTATTAAACCAAGGTATTTATGTCACTCGGCTTTTCGAGAAATCACGTATAATATGTCCAAATATATGGCTGCTACCACACTACTATATTGTATAAGGAGAAAAATGGAACGCACCGTTACGGCACCGACGAAACATTTGAACAGCATCCGTGTTTCATACCGTTATGTCGTCGGTGACTTATAATAAAGTGAAATTTTTACGAACTTTTCGTTCTTTTAGTATTGCTACAGAATAAATCATATTATATGTATATTACACACAATATTTTTCAGAAATCACTAAATTTAGTTCAATTTTTATTTGTAAGAAATTTAATCTAATTTTCTGTAATAAATTTTTAAACGTGAAATATTTATTTCGCAAAGCGCTTTAACTCTAATATTGACTCACTTGTGATTTATTGATTTATATATTAAAAATAATCTGTTTCGCTTCTTTTCAATTTATTTTTATCGATATTATATATATTATATTATACGTATTATACGTATTATATCGATAAAAATAAATAAATATGTATATATATAAAATCATTTTCTATTATATCTTAGAAAAAATTAAGTTTTTTTGTATGTTATCTTATGATAGCATATGTAAAATTAAATAAAGGTTAAATTTTCGTACTCTAATGGATATATTCTCATGGATATATCCATTTATACGAAAATTTAATCTTTATTTAATTTTACATATGCTATCGTAAGATAATACTCTCTAGAGAATTATTTATAAATAATTCAAATATTCGTGTATATATATATATATATATATAAGAAGATTTAACTTCATTTAATTTGGCATACATTATGAAAATAACATACAAATAAGCCTTATTTTTTCTAGGATATAATAAAATCAGTTTGATTCATTAAAATTAAACAAGCGTAACTTTGTTAAAGCGTTGTTGCCCTGTTTAATGTAAATAGATGCATAGAATAGCGTAAAGTAACATTTATTTCTTACAAGGTTACGGATATTTATACATGTAACACTGAATGCGGAACTGTTGAACAATTTATCTATTGAGATGATCGTGTGATGAAACATCGTTGTTAATCAACGTTTAACGAATTGATGAGCTTTATTTTTAACCAAGGGTGTTCAACATCCAATTAGGAT